TCTTGTCCTGTTATAATTCCACTATCCAAACAGAAACAATGATTATTGAAGTCTTTTTAAACTGGCTGTGAAATCCAGTAGAGTCCTCACATTAGAGGGCGCTCTAACCCAATAGTTGCATATTCAAACATCGTCTGTTTGCCCAAAATTTGCAAATATTGTCATGAATGAAAAGTAATCTCACAAGTGGATAAGTATTCCTTTTCAGCTTTTCTAGACTGTGGACTGTTTATCATGATGGTGTGTCACAGAAATTTGGAAAACGAGCAAAATTTCTGTAGTAGTGCATTTAAAAATGAACAGATCATACAGTATGGATGTGTGTGTCTGGGCATTGACGGCTTCGAATTTTGTGTGTGCGCGTGTGTGTGTCAGTGAGTACATCTGTCTGTCTGTCCGTCTGTCTGTTTCTGGCCTAATGGGCCTTCAGCCTTTGCATTGCTGACAGAAAATCAATTACCTACTCGGTAGGCCCCGATACTGCTACCTCTGTGCATAGGGCGAGCGAGCGAAAGAGAGAAAGGAGATGAAGGCTGGTGGACAGATGACCCACAATAAACACTATGGATTCATGTCTGTGGCTTATGACAAAGCTGTCACACATTTTCGGTCACTGAATCTTGATTTCCATTGTGCCGCTTTAATCTTTTCAGGTTCTAATGCTCGCACACAAACATGTACCCTCTAACAACAGATGCACAGTGCCATTTGCATCTCTGAAAAGCAACGTCACACAATGGGGCAGGTGAAGCAGATTACTCATAACTTCAAGTCGATTGAAAAAATAAGAGGAGATAAAGAGGGGAGATCAACTAAATTAAAAAGTACCCAGAAGCCTCATGGTGCATTCTGGCAGTCAGATGTGGGTTTTTTTTCTTCTTCTTGAATCTGAGACAAGGAACGTGGGAGCTGTGTGAAATTTGCAGGAAAGGTGTGAGGACTCAAAGTTAAATTTGAATTTTCAGATTAAAAAAAATGAAACTTTAATGATCCCTGTAGGGGAATTAGCTTTGTGCAGCAGCAGAAGTAATATGATTCAACAGCAGAAAATGTCTATATAGGACATATTAAATAAGCAATAATGTGAAGGAGAAAACAGAAATGAAATAATGAAATATATTACAAGCTAAGTATGGAACATGAGTCCACTGAGCTTCTCTTACTGCCTTTACTTACAGTTTCACAGCCAGGGAGTTTAATCTAAAATTGATTGTGACCTCAGAAATATGTGTTTTATACTACATGTGTATGTGAAGTGGAATTTAATTACTGAAGTTCAGAGTTGAGAAAACAGTCTCGCAACAAGTCGAGCTGCCAATTTGGGAGCCGTGTTGGAGCTGTCAGTCATGTCAGATGATCCTTACCAGATGATGAATAAAAAGGAAAATTCCTTGACAACTATGCAAACTCCCTGTGCTGATACAACTGCAAGCCTAAGTGGAGGTTTCTCAGTAAGTCTCAAAGAAGACAACATGACCATGACAATCAAATAAAGAGGGAAATGATGTAATGTTTGGATTTGGACTGTTCTTCCAATAGCAACATCATCATCATCATTGTGTTTCAGGAAATGACCAAAGACAATCTTTTCCATCCAGGCAGACCTGGAGGCAGCATAAGCAATAACAACCCTTTCCTTTAAATAACAAAGGAGGAAGTATAGAAAAGTTTGTACAGCTGCTAAGGTCCAAAGAAGAACAATGTCATGATGGTTCGGCTGGTTGTGGTTTACTTTCAGCTTCCTCCTTCTAGTACATGTTTGTTTCTTTACATCATGTTTGTGCCATTTTAAACCTGACAAGATTAAATATATTCTGCAGAGTTTGACCATCTGCAATAATATCCAGAAGCCTGACAAGGACAGATATCAAATTATATAGTTGACATGTTTTCCTGTGTATAACTCACTTTGCCAGATACAATAAATAAGAGGGTCATCTTTAAAAATAAAAGTCCATCTAGAGTCAAAGTGCTGACTTTCCTTTGAGTTCATGGCCTCAAGTATCTGGACTTATTGTTCCAGTCCAAGCAGGTGACTCTCACCCCGAATTTTCACCCCATCCGGAACAGCTCCGATCCAGAACGGCAGCGATTTTCGCCGTACGCCAAATCCTACTGGATCTGTTTGTGAGGCAAATTTCATGGCAGATTACAGACAGCGGGAATCGCGAGAACTCACAAGAACCCGTGGATTCACGAGCAACCAGGCAATAACGAGTTGTCTCTATAAAGACAGCCACATAACCATATAAGCAGTAGATTGTGTCCTTCCAGAGGAGGGAATCCACTTCTAGACTTTTAGAATCAGCATCTCCTCATCCATGGTGTCATCAGGATGAAATGCTGTCTAAAAACCTGTCACTTGTTCGTCCCAGCCTGTTTCCATGGTGTGACGTACGATCCGCCTGAAACACAGAGTTTTATTTTGAAAAGAAGCCGGATGTTTTACTTTCTGTCCGTGCCCGACTTCCTTTCCAGCATGGGGTTAATCTGAACTGAATTTATCTGGCATGCTCCAGCGTTTGGAAAAAATAGAACTCTTGCTAACAGCTGTGGAGTCCGGCGATCCTCAGCAGAATGAAAAGAAGCTGGTGGAAATCGACACATTAACTTGAATGGTTACGATAAGCTGCGATTGGCAGATATGGCCTTTTCGGAGCCGTTCCGGATGGGGTGGAAATTGGGGTTTAAGCCAGTTCATTGTGATCATTTTATATTCTTTGATAACAAGTGCTCAGAGCATATACACTCTCCAACCATTAAAAGATGCATTGCTAAGAATCAACTGGTGTGGGTCTAATGTTCATTTTGTTCCATAAAGTTTTCACTTATATTTGCAGAATATTTGAAGGAAGAGGAAAAATCAGTGGGAGGACAGGATGGAGGGCAAACTGAAGGTTGAGGTTAAGGTCGAACCCATGGCAACTGCATGCAGTGCAACTGATTTGCCATTGACTCTGTTTTCTGTATTATTGCACAAACAATATCAATTTTATCCACTAGCCTCTCACAAAGCAGTGAAGCACTTCTCAGAGCCAGTATGATCTGGCTTCAGTTAATTTAAAAAGGAACAGAACAGAGGAGAACTGACTTAAAGAGGGGGGAAAAAAACGGAACTGAGCTCAGTGACATTGAACAGACTGTCGAGGATGGAGGCAAAAGAACGAACTAAAGGAAAAGGAGCAGAACAAAATGTTATTCAATAAAAGGAAAGAGAGCAGATCTGAATACAGTCAAATGGATTAACACAGGACTCAGTGAAACCGCTGGAGTGAAGAATAAAATAAATCAACACAACAAGGCAGTGCAGAAGTGAACTGAATCAGGCAGCATGTGGGAGGTCAGTGGACTCTCTCGGCGAGCGCTGCCTCTCACTACTGCTGTGGATTTCCCTGCAAAATGCTGGATCACTTGGTAATCTCAGTTTAATACACAAATCCCCAACCTCAATCCAATCAAACCTAACACCCCCTCTGGGTAGGCCATGCAGGACCCACCTTCCCCCATCCCCTTCAATGAAGACTCTCCATTAACCCCCATTTCTGAGCCAATACTGAAACTGTAGTTTGATATGTATTCATATGTTTTTGTACTAGAGAGAGGATGCAAATCAAAAAACCTTTATAGATATGACTCACCTCTTTTTATTGAAGGGTTTTGGTTGAAGTGGGTGCGAACATTCAATTCTTCAAAACCCAGATCAAAAGATAAACCCAGAGCCTGAATTTATTCATGCAAATGTGCACACACAGACTTAGTCGAAAAAAAATCATGTAATCTTTTGAAACACACACAAAGAGGAAGAAAAAATACACATAAAGAGAAAGATATAGTATTGTGTGTGTATGTGTGTGTGTGTGTGTGTGTTTGGTGTGCGTGTAATGCCCAGCCGGCGGTGTTTAATGCTGTCCCAGAGGGTTTTAATCCAGATTATCAGGAGTATAAAGTCACTGAGTCTCCCTCTCAGCTCAGGCTAGCCTAGCGCTTACACACACACACACATACACGCACACACACACACTTGCTCTGTCTTTCAATCCTTTTCACACACACACACACACACACACACACAGAGGGACTCCCTATTTTGGATTGTCCTCCAGGGGGTGCTGTGTATCCAGATAGGATGTTTTATCTGGTTGGTGTGTTTTTCAGAAGCAGACACACAGTCGCCTCACGGATGCAGCTCACCCTGCTGCGAAAAGACCTCAGATCAACTGCACTCCGCTTGACCTATTTCAACATATTCACAGCGTTATTGTTGCCTCATTTGACATTTATATGAAGCCTTAAACTGAGATATTCTCCTTTGGTCCTGCGCTGCATCTAAACCTGACTCCCTGACACAAAAACCAGTGCAGATGTCTCTATCTCTGTTTTATCGACAGCTGTTTGAGACAAAACCACATGGCTGGGTTTCCAGCCACCTCTGAGACAGCTGCTGCATCATTTACACACGGCGGTGTCGTTTGTATGTCGCCCATTTGGACAGGATTAATTTCAGATATGATTAATCTGATGCTAGAGATTGATGCTTGCGGCAGGGAAGGCTGGTCGGTCTGTATGCGTTTCCTCATATTGGCTTGCTTTCTCGAGACAGGCCATCTCATTGCATCACAACCCGTCATTTTCCACTCAAATAGACAACAAATGAAATGTCCCTGTGATGTACAAGGCTTCTGCCTGCTGCGGAAGGGCTCTGGGCTTTTTCTCTGTTTTCCTCATTTAATATATCTTCATATATTTCTTTTCCGATTTCTTATCATTACACTACACTTTTTCTTCATCTCTGGCTCTTTCCTCCCTCTCATGCAGTCTCCCTGCATGAAAGTTTCCTGGTGTTCTGTAAATTAGGCTGAAAACGGAAGATTAACCTCTGGTGATGAGTTGCTACCCTAATGCAGTAAACCCCAGCATTATGATATTATGTGATGGGGAAATCTAATTAGGATCAGCTGGAAAGCAAAAAGTCTGGGTGGCCAAAAACCTTTTTACGAGGGGTCGAGATTTATACATGAAGCATTGAGAGGCTGTGGCGAGGAAGTTATTTTCTGTGAAGTTTATACAATACAAGAGCTTTATTCATCCCTAAAGGGAATTTCATTTGTCTTGAATCCCTGATAAACTGCAGATAAACCAAGTTATGATCCGACCTGCCCAGAGGTGGTAAGGCAGTAGTTCTGTGAGCATCTTTGACGTTGGCAAACAGTAGCCTGGCTGAGCCATCCTGTTGCGTGAGTCACTTGAAGTTCCTTCCCACCACAGTCTGGACTTCGGCCCATAGAGAGCGTGTATGCCCGATCAGAAAATAACCGGGCCAATCAGAGACCGTATTTCCACTGTTACCCGGACAACAGGGAAAGGCAGCCCCTGATTGGTCCATGCACTACTGTAACCAATCACCGTCACCAAGCAACTGTGATGATGTCAGATGCTTGGTTACAGTGATTGGTTACAGTAGTCTGTCTATCAAGGAAAGTACTCCCGCCCACTTTCAGGGCTTCCAATCGGCCAAAGTCCAGACTGTTGTGGGAAGGAACGTCAAGTGACTCACGCAACAGGATGGCCCAGCCAGGCTAGGCAGATCCAGGGCTTTGCTTTCTCTGGTAAGACAGATTTAAAAAAAAATGTGTAAAGTCTGTATCCTAGCAACAGTATTATGGAGAGCATCACACAGAACTTCAGCTGTTGCCTTGGTGGGAAGTGTTGTTGTGATATGACAATATGATATGGTTGTTTAATTGTAATTGATAAAGCTTCTGAGAGGAGTTTTTAAACACTGACCTATCTCTATGATGCACAAAAGGAAATAAGATAAGAAAACCTTGGGTCCGGCAAATGAGGTAATTCTGCAACCTTTTGGGAGCTTGCACGCACATTACAGATTTCAATAAAAAGCAGATTGCCCAAAAATGATACAGCTTATTTGACATCCATTCATCCATCCTCCCCTTCTCCCATCCTTCTTTTCTTCCTTCCTTCCTTTGTTTGGCTAGTCACAGATATTTCTTCAAAAGGGAGACCTGGCCAAGTATGACAGCACCACGAAGTCTCAACAACAAACCAATCACAGTCATACTGAAGAAGTAAAAAAATATATATTATTAAAATAAGTAACTGCATACAGAAATGCAGCCTTGCTTCAAAGGTAGTTCAGTCCAGTAATTTGCCCAGAATTGCCTTATCAATAAAAATATACCAAATGATGAAGCTGATGTGTGCCGAGGATGAGAAGAAAAACCACAGAAAAACCACCAAAACCATTGTTACAAGGTACAATAAGAAAGATGTGAATTCTCAGCTCAAGATAGTTTCTGGCAATGCACAGCTTCCAACAAATATCTTCTGCATTCACATTAACCTTGTCTGCACTCAAATGTTTAGTGCTCCACCACAATGTGTTGGCATGCTAACATGTTAAATTGCCAAAATGGATATGATCCGTTACACACACACTATTATGATACTATTATCATTTAATAGCTGTGACTACAGTAGAAATTGAGAGGAAAAACAATATCTAGGATCACAAATGAAGTATTGTGACTGAATCAAAACTTCTGGCAGCATCGATGAAATACTTCCAACCAGGATCTCCATTGTGGGATTGTGAAGGTGCGATTGATGCGTAATTAATGTGAGTTAACTATTTAGAATCAAGAGATTAATTGTGATTTAAAAAATAGTAAAAATAGTTTGACAGCGCAAATTTCAAAACAACTATTTTTAGTTTGGGTATTAATGGGGTATATGCTTGGAAAGTAGGGCAGAAATTTCTCATAATCTACAGAGGCAAACCTTGTGCTAACAACACACAAGCGTGCTCACACAAACATCCACAGTCACACACATATACACACTGCACTCAGGTTATTATGGGCTGTCATTGTTTAATTCTTGCTCATTAAATGCTCCAGACAATGACAAAGCGCCTCAGTCTCTGACAGCCTCTTTGTTAACCCTCTCCCTCTTATCTCTTTCCGCCTCCCATTCTCGCCCCTCTCCGCGCCGCTTTATGTCTATTGTACGACACTCAAGGACGATTTGACGGCGTCCCGAGCCGCCACTTAAACATCCCTATTCATCTCAAACTAAAACCTGCAAGAGAAAAAGAGAGAGTGAAAGAGTGAGGGAGAAATACCAACTTGAACCGTCAAGAGAACAATTTGCAAAAGCCTTGGAATGTCAGATACCACTCGCCACTTACTGGTAACATAAAACTGGCGCTGATGGAGACAACGCTGATGGTGCTGGCGGCAGCTACAGCAGTGATATAAGATGTCATAACCTTGCGTCCTTCGCTGAGCTTTTTAGAACCATCAATCTGTTTGACCTTTATCCAGGGATCAGGCCTGTCACACACACTGACACTCTCTCACCATTTCTTTTCACTCTCATCAGACCTGCCCTGACAATAATTGTTACAAAGAGTGTTGGGAGTTTAAGTGTGTGTGTGTGTGTGTGTGTGTGTGAAAGACTGACGAAGATGGAGAGACCAAGAGGGAGAGAGAAAGAGAGACTGCCCCTGAGTGCATTCACGTAAGAACCGAGGCCACCTGAGAGCGACGGAGCACAGAAGAGTGAAGATGAGAGAAAATGAAGAGACAAAAGCACTTCCCTGGTGTAATTATGCTTTCATTTCATGGCCAAGTATCCACATGATGTGCCCAGCATGCGGAGACACTCATTAAGGTCAGAAATGTAACCAACATCAGCCTGTAGAGAGCATGAGTGAATGTAAAGTGAGGGTGAAATGGCAAAAATAATCCGAGTTAAAGATGAGGATGTTTGAGCTAAAGGAAAGCGTCCTTTTTTTGGCTTTCTTTTGATGAACTGTGAAGTCGGGCATCCCTCGGGCATGAAATGAGAGATTTTGCTTCTGTTTGCATGTAATTCCAAAAAACAACAACACACATTTAAACAAATTAGATGTTTCTATGTTACATTCAAGTAAATCAGCAGCTACCTGCATTCGTTTTCTCAGTGATTTCCCCCCTTAGTCTTTATCTTTTCACACATTTATATCCCACTTTTGGATCAGAAAAGTCCCCCATGTGTAAACACTGCAGCAAACACAAAACCCCCTCTCAAAAACATTACCACAAATACAAACACAGTTCCAAGTAAATCCGTTGAACTTCGAGTACTTCAGTGCAAAAACTCCCCCTGCATCCCCTCTGCTAGTAACGCAGCAGCATCCTGATGCTCGGATCAATGTTGCAACAAATAACAGTAATGTGTCTGGCTGTGAGCGCTGTCGTGCCCTACCTGATGCACTGCCGAGGAGGAATGGGATGCTAATGTAGTTAAATCTGCACGCTCATTACTGCAGCAGGGACTCACTTCATTAACAGCCCCCTGCTAATGTGCCACTCTAGTTTTTGTGCTTTTTCTAGAGATGCGTGTACACCAGTTTTTGTGTGTTGCACATATGGAAAGAGCAGGAGAGACGAAGGTAGGTTTGTAAGTTTTTCTCTCGTGTAGGTGTTTAAATGTTACTACATAGATAGTTGTATAAAATATATAAGCAGAAAAAGAGTCCTAAACTTTAACATCTTTGTGAAACTTTTCGCCTGCTGTTAATCCTCACCCCCCTCTGTGAAAACAAATAGGGATTTACTGAGACAAATCAGAGTAAAAACTGTTTATTTCTAGATTCATTTAATCGGGGTACTTTAAAAAAACATGAACACTATAACTTTTGTTTTTTTTAGCGCAGTATAAATAATTTAATTTCATAAGTCTCTGTCCCTCAGTATACTTCTTACAAACTTCACCCACACATACTCACACTCACACACAGAAAAACACACGCATGCATACCTCTCTCACCAGTGTCTAGGATTCCAGCAATTAATGGGGCGGTAAATGAGATTGTTACTGATGTGTGGTAGCGAGGTGAGCGAAGGTGTGGAGGTGATGGAGGGAGACAGGAGGAAGACAGAAGAGAGCCGGGGAGGGGGCAAGCGCTGAGACGATGTTGTGATGCAAATTAGAAACTTTCACTTGATTTAAATATAGCCAAAGTTCAGAGAATAGACTTTTATTCATTTTTTAAGGGGTGGAGCCGAGACTCCTACAATTTGCTTTGGTTCTGAATGATGTGGAAGAAACATGTCGACATTTGATGTGAGAACCTCAAAAAAAAAAAGTGAATAATCAAGTAAAATTCTCTCTTTCAAAAGTTCAGAAATGTGTCTGTGCTCTATGAGGTGAAACGCACATAATAAAATATTTGGTGATGAAGTCCTGAAATCTACTTTTGTGCTAAATCAACTTTCACAAAGCTGCTGGACCGGGTGTGATATCATTTTTTCCAACATGTCCTGAACTCACTCTTTGGGAGATGAAATTTCCAAAGCTGCCTGTATTCACACATGTCCGGCACAGTGTGAAGATTTCCCCCTTGGATGCCAAAAGGGCACTGCCAATGAGTCTAAGAGTGAAGCAGAGTCCAAAGCTATACTTTAAATAAATGCCATGGACATATTTGCAGTACTAAGAATAAAAAACAAACAAACTGGTGAGCAGATAAGAGTATAACCTGGCTCTTGTTTTTACTAATAGGTTAGGGTTGGACTTTTGTGTTCACACATGGACCCAATAAAAGTTCTGACTCCAGTGAACAGGGGTGTGTCCAGACTGCCTTTACTTAGGAAATAGGACAGTGAATAGAGTTGGAAACTGGGAGAGAGAGAGAGAAAGGAGAACAGCATATGGCAATAGGCCCAAGACTGGACTCGAACCTAAGCTGCCCATTTTAAGGGCTACAGCCTCAAACAGATGTCCAGTCTAATGCAGGGGTGGCATTTAGTTCATGTGCAGAAATCCAGAATTCACAAATCACAATTTTTTAATCTACATTAAATAAATTTACCTGTATTTTTCTGGCACTGATACACTGTTGGTTTTTGGACTGCAAGACAGTGCACATAAGTTTGCTCTCCTACTTGTCTTATAAAACAGATTAGTTAAGTATTTTTCCACAATTTTGAGTAGTAATAAAGGAAAATGAGTTACACAGTCCAAACAGCTGGAGTTAAGTCCTGACCCTTACACAGGAAATAGTAAATCATAGTTTGATTTGGGGAGGATGGTCATCACTGGTCTCTGTTTCTGTTTGGACTCTTATCTATGACCTTTTGTTGCACATCTCCCAACTCTCCCCTCCCCTGATTTCCTGTCTCCAGTTTCAGCTTTGCTGTCAATAAAGTAAAGTAACTTTAAAAATAGAGAACTGATTCCATTAAGGTCCATGCCAGCCCTAGCCACTTCTTTGGATCTGTCCTCGATTATGGATTCCAGCTTTAATGAGAGAGATCACTGTTTTTCTTCATGTTAGAGTTTATGTTAGATAGCACTGCAAGACAGACATGTAGTGTTTGATGGCTCCACTTTCAGTCATGTGAATATCTCTCCATAATGTCATTACCGTACGTTTACGGGAAAACACACTTAATATTTAATGATGTAGATTTTTCAACCTAGAATGAAATTTTACATTTTTACATTTTTTTGCTCAAGTCATGTGTTGCTTGGTTCTGTCTTTTCCCCTCCAGGTGTCTCATTTTGTCGTCCTTTCACACAGATTCATATTATGACCCATATCCTCTGACAGCCAGACTGATCTAAATTGCTGATTAACTCAGCCCTTTCGTTTCTCTACCCTCCTTATTGTCTCTTCCTCGATGACTGCAGCAGTAGCCCTGGAATACCGCTGTCTCTGGAGGGTGTGTGTGTATGTGCGTGTGTGTGTGTGTGTGTGTATGGGGCATAAGGACAGGATGGCCCTGTGTGACGGCATTCTCCCTCAGGGGCCTATTTTTTCTGCAGGTGAACGGTGCATCAGGAGGAAAAGCTTCCATTTATATCACTTAATCCAGAGGACACACTATTAGAGCTCCAGACAGGGGAGGAAAACACACACTGACGTGCCTGTTTTTTTACACACACACACACACACACATGCATAGACAGTGAAACACCAGCAAAGACACACATAATGGGACATATCCCCCCCCCAGACACACACACACACACACACACACACACACACACACTCAAACACTCACTCACACACATACACACATGCATACGCATACTAACATTAGCTCATATACACAGATCTGTCACGGACAGCACATCGGCACGCTTGTGTAAGTCTCGTTAATGCATGTGTGTGCGAGTGTGAATATGTGTGTATGCTAATGCAGGATGAACATGTAATTTTCATGTTATTAGTCAAGGCACAGATTTGCATAATCTGCCATAGCTCAATACTATATAACATCTTTAACAAGTTATTTCATTATATAAAGCCTCATGTTGCAATATATTATTTAATTTTCTGTGCAATTTTTACAACCTCTTTTTTTATTTATAGTTTTTATATGTGCCTTTCTTACTGTCTGGTGTTTCATTAACATGTGCAACTATTATAAGTAGCACACAGATTATAAAACTGTGTAATGATATTTAATGTTCTGGTTCTGACTTTGTAGCAGAAGTGCCCCCCCAAACCCCTCCACCAATTTGGAAGTAAGGCTGCTAGTGCTGGTCTTTATTTGATCCTGTCTCTCTCAGTAATCTGTGGGATTGCATGCAACAAATGTCTTCAATCTGCTTCCTAATCACGGCTCAAACCAGGAGAACAATAACATGCTGACATCATACTGCAGATTATGGTGAGTCTGCTCTGCTCTCGAAGGGCTCTGCCGATCTGTTCCACCATGACTGTGTTTTCCTTTTGTCTTACTGCACAGAGTCAAATAAAAACAAAACATCCTCACGGATCAATTATCTTGCAGATTTCTTCCAAATCTTCATTGTTGTTTTTCTTCAAGTTCTTGTTCTTCACTGAACAAAATATGAATCCCACTAACTTTGAGAAAGTAAAGCCTCATTTTTTACCAACGGCAATTATAATAAGTTGGATTTCAAGCTCGGTAATTTAGGATGAGAAACAGCCATAAAACAGAGACTCTGAATAATTTGACTCCCTGGTTTTGTCATTATTCCCAGAGGGATGGCAGTGCTGGTTTGACGTTCCATTAACAATGTGGCTGCAAATACACTTAATTTACAAGGACTTATCACACTCCAAAATGCACAAAAGAAATGAGAACTATCAATGCATAATACATTTGGGGCCTGATCTACTAAGATCCAAAATAGTGAGCACTAAATTGCGTGCGCAAACTGAAAAATCGCACGTGCTATTAGTGTGCGTGTTGCAGATGATCTACTATCACTGCGTGCGCAATTGATGACGGGTGCGAAAGTGGTGCGGACCGTCCTCTTTAAATGAGGATTTTGCATGTGCTAAAGGCTGTCACCATGGACAATTTGTGAGAGCAGAGTGTTCGAAACCATGGAGTTGTTCATATCGTTTTGGGGAACTGCATGAAAGGCAAGCAAAGGAAGTTTATTTGTGTTGCACAATTCATACACAAGGCAACACAAAATGCTTTTCAGATGCAAGAAGATATACTAGAAATCAAAAAAGGGATTAAAATGATTTAAAATCAATAAGACAAACAGACAATTTTTTTTCGTCTGTTATTATTTATGAAAATCGTCATTTAGCAGAAAAATGAAATAAATCACAAACTTTTGGACAAGGATCATGGCGTCTATCATGGCACTTCTACCTCCTTCTCCCCACAATGACCGTGCGTAATGCTGTGCCAGTTTGCATGTGCCTTTCAAACGTGCCAAATATAGATGCAAAATAGCAACCGCAATCGGTTTCTAGGTTTGATAAAACACATCGCGGGTGCTAAATGATTCCATTTGCATCTGCTCCTCCCAGAAGTTTGCGCGATCTGATGATCTACATACATTCTGCATATTCATGAAGGCAAACACGCTAAATTGTTTGCGCGTGCTGTTTTGCTCATTTGACAGACGCAATCTTCGGTGCAAGATCAGGTTTGCAAGTTTGCACCCAAACCTTTAGTAGATCAGGCCCTTGACTTTTTAAATGGCTGGAACATATTTTATCTACATGACCACACCTTTGGCATAGAACAACCTTTCCAACCCCATGCCCTGCAGATCTCAGCTGTCACTCAAGCAAACATTATTGCTGGCTTCCTGCAGAAACATCAAGCTAAGAGGGGAATCAATCGGATATGGTGCAAGAGGTAATGATATAATCAATATGCATCATGTTCTATGTTTTAGATATGGCATTTAATCACACTAATGACCATTCTTTAAAGTGAGGGAGTGAAGCATGATGACACATTTCAAATGCTACACTTGTCCTCTCATTCTAGTTCAGGCCTGTGCCGAGAATTGAATCTCTTCAACTGAACAAATTGACTGCATGCAGTGAGCGAGGCAGCGCTGTGACCTTTTCCCAAACAGTTCCACAGTACAACCCAGCGCCAGTTTGATATCTGCTATGTACAATTGAAAAAGATACCGGTTGAATAGGCAGCCCATTCCTCTGACTTGGCCACGAATAAATCTATATGTCCTCCCCTCCTGCCCCTCTCATACCTTCCTGAATCCACGAGCCAGGAGACCCCAACCAATAAAAACCTGATCTTTATAAGTCTGGAGGGGGAGGCAGGGAAGTTTGGGGAAATTGCTGAATGGAAAAGGCAATATACAGCTAGAAGATAAGACAGAGCGGTGGGACTAGCTGCTTAAGGCTCTGATTTTCACTTGGGATACAGAAGCCCTGAGCTAACTGAGCTGGTATAGCTGCAGATATGTTGGTATATGCTTGGAAATTTCCATGCTATCATTCTGTATAGGTGAGATTAATGATGTTTGAGTGACAGATTTTGCCTGAAATTATATAAAAATAAAATGACAACACACTGTGTGAGATTGTTACTAGCAGAGACAGCCTAAAGGTACCATATTTTATATGTCAGCTTCTTCTTTTGTCGTCATTTCCATCCTCCTATTCTTAGCTCTTCAAATCCCAAACGAGAAGCTATTGTTCCCATCTGTCCCCCAAAATGGGTCCAAATTAGATCGAACATGCTTCAAAATCTAATTACAATCAAATGAACAGAAATTAAAAGAAACATGCTTTTTCTGCTTGTCGGAAGTCTAAACGCCTCCTGATTTCATCGCTAGTCTGGTGTCGTGCTGACTTCTACAGCACCCTGTCTTTTCTTCAGCATTTCTCACCATCTCTGTCTTTCTCTGCACTATATTGGATAATAGATGACATGACATCCTATGAGCATATTTCCACATTCCCATGATGCATGCATGTGTGTTCTCTGTATATGTGTCTGAATGTATATTCTGCAAAGCTGATTGATGGATGAATGAGGACAGAGCTGTCATGCAAGAGTCGTCATGCATTTTCATATTTGTCTACCGGGAAAATGATGCATGCCTTAGAAGTCCTCCCCACTCTACACACATTGGAGAACGTGTACATCACACATGCACGTATAAACACACCAGCACAGTTTTGTGGCTCTAATGTCATGCTGGGTGATGTGTTGGTGCTGTATGAGATCCTGCTGACTGACAGGGCTCATCCATAAGGCAGGAGACTCGGCCTCTGGCAGGAAAAAAACCTGATGAAAGAGCAAAGGGAGACAGAAGGGGACAGAGGCGAGGGACAGGTAAGCAAGACAGGAAAGAAAAATGGCACAATCGATGCCTGAACCAATCACAAACCAGAAACTAGTACAACCCAGTTTAAGTCTTTCTGGTTTAAAGGAGCAATATGGAAGATATCTACCTCAATTAGTCGAGACAGTAGACATTAGGGTGACATGTCCAAAATAATCTGCATTTGTCTGGACATGAATTCGTAGGGGGTATTTTTCTTTTTGACACCTCTCAGATTTGTGTTCTTTTTGGAAATCATGGATGCCACACCCTCGCAGGAGTGTGTTATCAGCACACAGTTAAGAGCTAGCAGTTGTGATGGTATGGAGATATACAGTATAAGTGACACTGGCATGCCTAGTTTATACACCTGGGAAGGAACCATTGCCATGCTGACCTAGACAGGTGTTAGGGCAACATATGCTGCAATCCAGATGATACCTTTTTCAGGATAGACCTTGCATAACCTTTCTGGCATCAAAAATTAAGTTTGCGAATTTATACTATTGGATTTACACTAGGGCCCGACCGATACAGATTTTTTGGGGCCGATGCCGATACAGATTATTAGGGGGGAGAAAAATGTGATTACCGATTATATATATATATATATATATATATATATATATATATATATATATATATATATATCCATCCATCCATCCATTTTCTACCACTTATTCCTGTTCCCGGGGTCGCTGGGGGGCTGAAGCCTATCCCAGCATCTTCTGGCGGGCGAAGGCGTGTGTGTGTGTGTATATATATATATATATATATATATATATATATATATGCTGTAGATATCTACAGAATACTATAGTCTGAAGACCGACTGATCAAACTTGGACCAGAAAAGCGTTTTCAACTATCCCCACCACTGATCGGTGCCTCCGCATCTGCATGTTACTCATTTCCAGTCTGGTCTCATCTGCAGACATGCAGCTGCCTCAGTAAGAGAAGTAGCTCGATCACGTAGTGTGTACTGTTGTTTATTCTACCGTTGCTTGCACGGCTAACAGTGTAGCAAGGCTAATAGCAGGTGGCTAACTCGAATGTTAGCTTGCGTATTACATGGTGCTTCACCGTGTACTCAGTGTGACTGAGACCAGCACAGCGGGGAACATCATGAAGTGGGTTGAACTGAAACTTGTTGACTTATTATATTTATATTGTATTTTTAACACTATATAGGGTTTAAGGGATTTGGAAATCGATGTCTGTCCAATTACAGTATCATGTCCCATTTGAGTCGCTAACCACTTTTTGGGTGTCCATCTGCTCCATCATGCTGTAGGTTCCTCTGGATCACTGTTGCAGATGTTTTATTGCCGTAGATCTGCCTGCTTTCTAGCTGCTTTGACTACACGCATCACTGTCATCATTTTTAACACTGTACAGTCCCACTCTTTTGAAAATGAGGCAGTGCAAGTAAAAGAAAAAAAAAGGGTTATGCACTCAGTACGTGCTCTGTGTGTAAAAATGTTGCTATAAACTGCACATGCTGCTGACATGCAGGGAGGCAGTTAGAGCCAATGACCTGAAAGAGCCCATAAAAGTGTTCAGACATCTGAGGTAGTTTAGCAGATATGAGCTGGAGGACTGACTGACCCTCATGTACAGGGACTGACTGTAGTCCAGACGAGGTGTAATGAAAGCATTGATAACTTTTGAACAGCAGAGATAAACAAAGCAACAAGAAAGAAAACAACAAAGTCTTCTGTCCTCTCTCAGACCAGCAGGTAAACACAGCAGCCATCACATCAATGAAAGGCAATCTGGATCGGCTTGAATTGGTCAGGGGGAGCACATGCTAAAGCACCCCACTCAGAGAACTGTTACCTCTACGCTGTGTGTCTCCGAAAACACATCAGCATCTGAGACACCTCATTACAGTGATCTCTCTCTCTCTCTCTCTCTTTTATTTATCCCTTCTTCTTTGACTAGCTCTTCCTATTGCCGCCTCTCGATCTTTCTCCCCCTGCTGCACAAAGCACACAGACACACGTTCACACAAATACCTATTACAGGGTTCCTCATTGTCCAGGAAGTGGAAGCGATAGTTTTTTTCTAGTTAGTTCCATCACCCCTCTGCTTTGGCGGCTCTTGGCCTCCTCTAAGATAATACCCATTTATCCCACAGAGTGTTTACACAAGCCGTCCAGGTTAAGTGACTTGCTGAGAAGAATGACAGACAGCGGCTTTCCTTTCACTTGAAGAAGATTGGATTCATCAACCACTGCTTAATAGTAGCATTCAGGCTCTTGATTACACTCCATCTAACACATTAGTGGCTATTTTTGGTGTGTTTGCTCACATGTGGGCCCAACTAACGCCCTGACCTCGTGATCTAAATTAAATCGGCTCTAGCGGAATATTATATTGGTTTCGCTATCATCGCTCAAAAACCATAAAACTCAATCCTTTAAATCTTTGTGCCTTGTAAAGATCACTCTTCATGTTCCTCATCATAAACTTCAGCCATAAACAGCTCTGTATTCACTATGATAATATGAAGCCTTTTACACAGCAGGTTTAGTTGAATGTTTTACTGGAAAACAGCAGGTCCTCGGGTCATTTAAAAGGTTGTTTAATTAAGTTGCTCTGTTAGCTTGAAACAGTTTTTAAAAAATCAGTCCTTGGTTACTTTAAAAACAAATTAATTGATCATCTGTTGGGCTCTCCTCGTTCAATATGTCTCTCAGAATTGCCTACCTCCAAAGAGCACCCTGTAATCTAAATAACCTGATGTTTTGGCTTCTTAAAGTCCCACTCCTATGATTTTTTTTTACTATTTAAAGTGTTCTCAGTGGTCTTTAAATTGTGATTATGAAGTTTTTAGCCAAAACATACTCCTCTTCAAGTTAGCTTGCAGCCTAACGTTGTCGGTGTCACAAAAGTGGCAGCTAATATAGGAGCTATTCAGCTTTTGGATGCTAATTTCTTTGGCAGCATGATAAAAGGTAATATCATAAGTAGCTTTCTTGCAAGCAATGCAATCCACTAACGCTTGAGCCAGGATTGTCTTCTCTATTTCTCAGGGTCTGGTCTCCAGAGCGGGGCTCAGGGGGTGGAGCTTGGATTTGTGATGTAAGAAATCTCACTGTGTCTGAGCCTGCCATTTGGGGGCAATTAGTTTTCTCATGATGTGTCCTGAAGGATCAGATAAATGCCATATGAACATGTAGACAACAAGATAAAGATGATTTTGATCAGAGTGGGTCTTTAAACATCTGATAATTTCACTTGATTAAATTAGCGCTGATTAATGGGATTATCACAGGTATATGGGAGAATTTCATCACTGAGACAGTACTGTTAATCTTTTTATTTTTGACCCAAAAACCACAAAGTATTACGCTAAGATTCCTGAAGTGGGGCACACACAGCGAAATAATCATGCTGATTTTGTGCCTGATTTCTCTTTCTCAAAAGTCAGCAAAGGCCTGATTGTTGGATGGTTAAGATTATATTGGCAGATTATCAAGAGGTGTGTTAAGACATTCAAGGCCTCCCCAACTCGAAACCTAGATACTAAACTTGTTTTGTAGTTTGCAATCAGGAATACTTATGCGGGTGGGTGGGTATGGAAACGAGCTGATTAAAGAAGGAACACAGAAAATGCAACTATGGCAATGACAGTAAACATGAAGCATTACATGGGACAGACATCCGAAATATCGAGTCCATCTGATAAAATTTCTACTTTAGATGAACCAGGAAGCTAAGAAGCTAGCAAGGGTTAGCTCCTGTTGCCTCTCATGTCTCCATATGTGTTGTGTGTTGTCGTTACCACATTGTTGACACCACACACTACAGAAACAAAACTGTTAAATCCCTGTCTCTGACATTTTTAAAATCAGCTAAGCTTCTAAAAATATTTCAGGGTGAGCCGGGCTTTATTTCTCTCCAGTTTAGCTTTGTCTTGCCTCCAGCTACTACTGTGACATTGTTGAGATGTCAGCCCCTAAAAGGCTCCAGAGGAGATAGACTATCAGTTTTTTAGCAATACAGGTGAAAATTTCAAATAAATCAGAGTCATTAAGTCCAGTGTTAACACAAGAAAACAGCTCCATGGAGAATCAAAAGAAGATTTTAAGTGTATTGCCAAACACTGGGACTCAGAAATTGTCCCATTTTTCATTGCAAATAAGTTGAAGCAGTAAATCTGGACATGGTTTCCCTTTGGTTCTTACAGACGGACTTGTTTTTTGTGGGAACGTAGTATCTGGTACAAGTCCATCAGGAGCAAAACACTCCTCCATGTTATCTCATATGCTCTTGTCCTATTGAGCAGAAATATAGGTGTATCCTTGTAAAGATATAATAAGAAAGACGCACTACAACTTGGGCCTCAAACATTCTTGAACCTGTCCACCTTTTTTAATGAATGCTGGATGTTACTTCATTTCATTCTTGGTTGTTTCACCGGCTCTCGCATTGTAATTAGTTTCTGCGGGACAACAAACCATCAGAAGTGTGCGTCTTGTTTCTGATTTATGAAGCATTTAAAAGGTTGCAAGGGAGGAAAAAAAAGACAAAAGACTCCACAGCAAAAGCAGGCCTCAGCTGAGCTCTTAAAGCCCGTGTCAGAGAAAGAGAGAGAAAGAGAGAGAGAGAGAGAGAGAGAGAAGAGGAAGAAGTGAGGGAGGTTTCATGATTAACTTTCATTTCCTATGCCTTATTATTCCTGCCCCAAATGAAATTTCAGAGGAGGAGATAAATCTCCCAGCACTGGCCGTGCACCTAACGTCCAGGAATAGCTTCGGCTCGCCACTGCTCAGCTTATCGCTTTAAATTCACAGCAAACTAGCTGTCGAGCTTTTCCCCAGCAAAATGAAAGCCGGCGTTACTCCAGTGTGAGTCTGTGTGAGAGGATATAAGGTCGTCAGTCAGTCTACCTCAGGTTGATATTTATAGATATGGATGAGATGTTGGGTCTACAGTATGTGTGTGTGTGTGCTCTAGTAATGGTTTGTATAGAGAGATCAATAAAATTGAAAGCATGGATCACACAGCCTTTTAATCACATTCCTCTCAGCCGATTTCAAGATGGACACATAGATAAGTAGATATCGATGTCATGGTTCAACCATCCATCCTGCTCATAATTCTATTGTAGTGGAAGGGCCGATATGTCCATTGACTCCTCTAACTATCGACTCTCCAACAGGTAACGACCACTTTCCATTTTTCCATTTATTCTGACTAAACAGTCAGAATTATTTTCAAACATGGACACCAGCTCTGGGACTCATTAATGCTTTTCAATTAAATTAGAAATTAGCCTGTTAAATATATAATTTATTACCAAATGGCTTTTAGACATTTAACTTGAATGTTACCAAGGGAAAGTCAGTATGGCAGGTAAGTAAAACTGGCTGGAATTTAACATTACAAAATACAAAGAATATGGGATTGAGGTCTGCACAATGGTTGTCAGGAGCAACAACAACAAACTAGTGTCATCTTTTCAGATCTTTTCCTATACGACTATATTCATAGTTAAATTAAAAAGTAACACAGATAGTTAACTGTAAACAGATAAACAGACCTGTTCGTCTACCTGTACAAGAAAAGGGCGTCAAAGTAATAAGACTCACTTCTCTCCCCAGGGGGCAGTAGAATTGATGACCAAAACCAAAGTTCCTCACAAAAGCTCTTTCAGTGTTTGCCAACTTTAGTCCCATCCTATTATCCAATAAAAATGGCAATTTTCAGATAAATGGGTCAAAGAGCATTGGTGTTAAATGCATGTTAATGATTCATTTGCATGTATTTTTCAAATCTGCCCCCTACAAGTTCCCTCACTGCATATAGGTAGGATATTGAAATACTAGAGAGCTGCACCACACATTATTAAACATCAATAAATCATCGTCAGAAAAGTGATTTATTAGTAAAACTATTGAAAAATGAGACCACAGAAAAGATGATTGATAGCCTTGATTTGGCAGCAAAACTCGCATTAAACATTCTCATCGCAACTGTCAGTTCGTATGGCAAGGTTTCCTCGGTCTGAAAATGATAAACATGCTCGAGCATGGGAGTGAGTTTTTCATCAGCCTTTCACTTATTCCACCATCTGCTACTACGAGACGCTCTCCAAGCTTTGGCTCAGATTTTGAAGTACAGCAACCAGCTTTCTGTTCTGTGCTGGGTGGGACGAGAACTTGCAGATTTCTGGCAAGAACCAGAGAAATACCCAAAGTCGTGCAAGTCATGCTGCCATTCTTGTTAGCAATAGTTGTTAGCAATGGTTATCAGCATTGATTGCATTGGGGCAATCAATGCTTTAATGATTATTGTCACAGGCTAACATGGCAAACCACAATTAGTAATCAACTGATTTCTTTTGTTAGACATTGTGTTGCCTTACATTTATACTTTTTCAGCATTTTAACCTCTACCACTTCACCACCATCAAATTAATGTACTTCACTTTACATAATGAATGTGCAGGTATGCAATAAAGTCAGCATGGCACTGATTACATCTTAACAGCCTTCATAGAAACTCACATTTATAAGGAACTCCATTGTGAAAACATAATCAAGGCACAATGAGAAATTAAACACAACAGTGATTATGAGCCACGGGAAATTTTCCGGTCCAGTTTAGGGTTTGGATTTGCTGGGAAAATGTAGCCCAGTCCCTGCTCCTGCAGTACGGTCATATTCCTCGTCTTTCATTGATATTCATGATTCCTGAGACAGAGCCATTTGCTCACTTGCAGCGCCAACTACGGTCCACCCACCAGTTATGAAAATTTATAGGCTTGTTTGGAGACCATGGAGACCAGCAAAGCAAGCGTGTGTCCTCTCCCAGTGCCTTTGAATTATCCATCCTGCTTTATCCACCAGTCTGGCCTGCGCTAACTATACACAATTTGTTCATCCTGTTCTGTGGCTCTGCAGTGGGAGGACAGCTCACACATAGAAGAGCTTCAATCACATGTGTGGTTGGACACTCTGCATAGCATTGCTGTAATTACAGGTGCGGAGCAAAGATGTGATGCAGGTGGTAATTATTCCTCACATATATGGGTGAGGATGATTGACAGGCGTAAAATATAGTATATCTCCGTTAATTATTGTGAATTTGCATTATGTGGCTGTACCTAATGTGCAGATGTAATGATGAACTGGTAATTATCTCAGGTCTCCATCTTCTTCTCTATTTTCTCACATCTTTCAGAATAATTACTTTCTATAGATTATTTAATAAAACAAAAAAAAAAAACACAGAATGAATCATCTTTGGGGTTTAATGCTTAAAAAACTGGAACTTTATTATCCGATGCATGCTGTTCAGCCTATGGGGACTCGACCCCAGCGTGCTGCAGTGCCTAACTACAAGGCTATTTGTTCTCCCTCTGAGTGCATATATAATATAACGTGTGTGGGTGTGTTATGCATATGGGCCCCTGTCAGACTGTGGGCAGCACAAACAGGGTCCCTGTGGCGTGTGTTTGTGTGAGTGTATGTAGAGATGCTCTGTTAGAGTGTGTCCCCGCACCAGGATGCTGAATTTTCCAGCTGTAATACTTTTATCAAATTCTACCACTGTCATATTGAGGATTCTCCTCTTTCCGTCTTGCTTTGCCTTGGCAGCAAAATCACACTCACATAAACAGGTGTATGTGTACGTGCAAAGCAATGCATTTATGGATGTGTATGAGCGCGTAACTGTTGTTAGACTGGGATCAAACAAAGCCATAGATTTTCAGGGAAGACTGAAGCCACTGCAGTATGTGTCGGCTGCAGCAGCTCATCTCAGTGCGGATTTGAAACGCTGCCTAAACTGGGAGAAGTGATGAGCAGAGTGGAGGAAAAAGGCCTTTAAGGGATGTATCACATTCTCGGGCTATTAGCCTTTAGTCTAGGTTCTTTGTCTACTGCTTCTTGGTTCCTGTTGGTGGCGCGGTCAATAGTTAATTACAGGCTGCCACAGGAGAAGGGCCTTCAACATACTGCTGGAGAGGGGAACGGGTCTGCTCTGATTTACTTCACTGCACCTCGCACCTTATTCTTCTTTTCTCCTCAAAGTTGAAAGATAATTCTTATTCAGAGTAATTTGGCATCTTGTAGGGCTAAATTTTATTAGATGTCCACCCAAATATGACATTTTGGCTTGTCACAGTGTATATAAGGGCCAGTGAAATACAGCCTTGGTCATGTACCATGTCTGACTCTTAAGGGTCTTGTGTATATATCCAAGAATCACAACAGTGGCTCACATGATGTATCTGTCAAGTATCCCAAACCAGTAACACAGCGTAAAATCACACACTAGAGCAAATGATATTGTAAATGTCATTGTAGAGCACTAATATACCACTACTGCAGGCCTCAGCTTAATGGTGGGGTAGGCAGGATCTGGGAAGTGCCAGTTTTTGGGAGAAATCTTAAATGTAAACATTGACCTCCCCTCAGCTCCTCCTCTCTCCGCCCTCTCTGCTCCAGCAAGCCCCGCCCACAAACAGACGCTCCTGCTCGGTCGTATCGTTTCAATTGATTTCAGATATAATGCAGATAAATACTTCAGATCATTACAAATGGGGCCCAGTCAATGTGAAAGTAAACATCATTGGTGCTACTGTAGATGCCAACAGACTACCAGCAAACACAATGTTTGCAGGACTTCTACAACGAGGATAAAGTGACATAGTCCAGGACCCGAGGGAGGACAGTTTAGCGGCGCTACGACACGCAGCAGGTCCCGTTAAACAAGAAACACTTCTGTTACAGACACTTTACTTACTTTGTTAAAGCGGTTTACCTGTCCAGCAGAAAGGATACAGGGTCCGTAAGATCCCGAAACGTCCCCCATCGTTTATGCTGATGTTGACCCAGCTTCTTAGCTCTTGTCTGGTCTACCTTCATTTTAAGCGCCCGTTATTCCCCCAGAGTCTCCTGTGTTTACTTTGTTTTATTACTTGTGTTTTCCGTACTTTCGGGTTGGTTTCTACTGTCCGATGTTGTAGCACGCTAACTTTGTTTGGGCTCATGCATGTTATTGGAGGACATGGAGCGTGCCTCACAACCAATCAGGTTGGGGGAGGCGGAGAACGGCTTTGTTTACAGTCAGAAAGAGCGGGCCGCTAAAATGTTGACTACACAGACATAACGAAACACAGCGATATCGTTATATTACCAAATGTCATCAACAACTAATAGCTATTGACTGATATCAAAAGCTTTTTTGCTTCTTTAACAGAATCCTGCCTACCCCACCTTTAAGTGTGCAAAGACTTTGCGACAGTGAATCTTTCTTACACTGTTACAGAATCTCAATTTAAAAGGCCTGATGTAGAGTTGCTACAGAGTCTGGGGATATATCAAAATGTAAACTAATACTAATAAATCTGTCTAGAGGAGAAACTGCCATGATGGAAAAAGTTCCTTTATTATAGTGAAGTAGATATAAAAAATATCTGTGAAAAAGAGAGAGTCCGACAGGATACAAAATGTGATCCAATCCATCAGTTTTTTACTTCCAAACCGGTTAACAGGCTGACATTTTGAGCAGAGAGTAGCAGCACAGAATTATTGTTCTGTGAATTAATATGGTTATTAACAACAACTCAGACAAACTTTGGTAAAGTTTTTAGTTTGAAACAAATCAACCGTTGATGCGGCTAAATTTGCTGGCTATAATACAACCGTCTAATGAATCCTGTCTTATTAGGAAGAAAGAAAAACACGTTTTAAACTGTATGACATTTGTTGATGGGCGGGGCTTAGAGGGAGGCAGAACAGTCCTATTTGACATGTTAATTAGCACCGAGGATTAAGTTGTTTTTAGCCTGTCTCAGACAACAGCAGAAAATTTGAAGAGTGTTTCTTGAATAAGTAAACTTAAAAATAACAGCAACCTGTCAAACTTGTTTGCTCTGTGGCTGGATGATCTGATTGGACAACCAAAGGAGGTACACGAAAATCAAAGTGTGATTCGTGACGATGAACTGAGAGTTTGTCAGTCTTGACATTTTGTGGTTGACTAAAGAGACTAGAGACTAAACACAACTCACCTACTCTCCTCCAGCAGCCGCTTGTTTGTAGCGAGACCTTCGGGCGAGGAATAAATGTTCTTCCTTGAGCCCTGGGACCCTACATGTACTGTTGATGAAGTTAGGTGCTGTTCTGAGCATTATTTGTGGCTATAGAGTGGCCTTTTGGTTGAGTGCATGGCTCTCTTTATTGCTATCTGTGGTTGTTACTTAAGTTGGTGTAACTAGAGAAGCAAGCAGTTGGCAACATTCATCTCCTGACGGGGCGTCTAATTCGCTGTTACGGTGTGTTTGACCCTAACTTAATTTAATGTCAGAATATCCCTTTCAGCTGTGCATGTAAACGCACCAACTGTGACATTGTCGGGGTCTATACGTAAGCTAAATAGCATTAAGCTGAGCATTCATTTTTGATGTTAACCTTAACATCTGGGCTCCTGTTATATTATATATTATATTATAGTATATTAATACCTTAAAAGGCCTGTTAAATATATTTCCTTTCATCCGAGTGAAAGCCCAGTGTGGCTCTCACTAGGATGAGTTTATTTTTCTACAGAAGAAGGAAAGACCTCCTGGAAAATAACAGCAATTAGACCTCTGGCTGTCGGATCCTTTGATATTTACTTTTGATGATCTGCCCTCTATATGTACTTTGTTTGATCAGCTCACAGCCCGCTGGTTGCTGCTGGGAATCAAACTGTTGTTTGCCTTTTTAAAAATAGACAGGAAAAAACAGTAATGGCATTTACGTGCCGGTTTATCCTCCATCTGCCTTGCTCTTGATGAATATCTTAGCAGTCGCTGACCACAGAGCAGTGCTGAATGCCCCTTTGTTTGTTTGTCCTCACAGCCTGCTCCCCTACAACAGGGAGCAAACATCTTTCAACTAATGATCTACTTTACATTTGTTTTAATTAGGTGTATTTAAATAGCTCTGAGCAATAATTAACTAGCCAGAGCATCCAAGTGGGAGTAAGCGAGTAAGAGTAAGGCTTTTTTGTTGTGCAGTGTTGTTGTTGTTTTGCTACTGCAGTTAGATCCATCAGCAGGGGCACCATGCCAAGTCTGCATTAAACAGGAGCTTGTTCATTCTTCCCGTCCTCCTCCTCCTCCTCCTCCTCCTCCACTTCTTCTTCCTCTGCTCTTTGGATCTCCAGAGGAAAGCAGGGTCTGTCTGTGACAACAACAAAAAAAAATCCACTACCGGACAGGTGTATAATGAAAAAGTGGGGGGTGAAAATTCACAAACACGAATGAGGGAGGGAAATGCTGTGGGAATGGTGGAGAGGAATCGTGACACAGGATGAGAGAGGAGAAGGGAGGGAGAGGAGGGGTGAAGGTGGGTGGATGCTTCCAGGGGCACAGCTCAAGATGGTGTTTGAAGTGCTCCGGGGGTCTCTTCCCTTTATTGTCTCTCTTAATGAGCTTTTTATGTTCTTGTGTATTTTTACACAGCATGTGATGGTCGATGAACGCCTCCTTCGTGGGCCTCCTGATGGATCTGTTCTTTTTTATCCGGCTATTCACCGCTGCATGTAAATTTAATTATAAGCATCTGGTTAGTGAATAGGACTAATTAGCAGATAGGGGCTGGAACAGCAGGTCAGGGCTCTTGATTTCCTCCCAGCCCCCATGTCCTCACACTCTCCTTACTTTACCTCAGGCACAGATTAGACCTCCTTTTTTTCAGGCTGGTGTCTTGGTTCTGTTTACTCCTTCGGTTTCAAGTTCGAGCAAAGAAAAACCTACTGCATTACTCGCCTGCGCAAAGCCAACAAGAAAAAGTCTTGGACAATCGAAAAGAACTTCAAAACAAAACGTACAAGCTGACAGGAAAACATGACAAAAGCAATCTGGATTCAAAGGCGCAGTCGGGCCTATAGACAAACAAGCAGTCTATAATTAGACGAGAATGGTGGATTCTGAGAGAGGTGAGCACAAAACCAGCTCACAGGGTTGTGTCGAAGGGGGCGGCTTTGGAAACTCCAAAGAAACACTAAAGTCTGCTTTCAAAGATTCTGTGTGATTTCAAACACTGTACCCTCAGAGCCAGGAGCTGCTTTTCAGGGCATGTTTTCCACCAAAATATCGCCTGTAATGATGCAGCCTGCGGGGTGCCGAGGTATCCCTGCAGACTTTAAAATTGGGGCCTTTTTTTCTGCACTCTCAGTTCTCTGAAACTTAAAAGAAACCCTACTTAAGTAGGATGATATCCTTAATTTAGCATGTGGATTTTGGATGCAGAAACATTTTTTTCCTTCTGTTGTTGTTTTAAGATTTGGGCTAGAGTTATTTGCCTTTCCTAAATTAGCAAACACTGTTTTAGTGTGCAAACAAAAGATTGATTTTATTTAAAAGGAAAAGATAAACTCTCTGTTTCTGCGCTTTCACTGGCTCTCAGGTTTCTACTCTCCTCATTTAAACTAATCGCAGTATACAGCATCAGGTTGTAACTTATTCTCTATTGATGTTTCGCTTCAAGCCCGGATGGGAGATTTTCCTGAACCTCTGACCTCATTTTTATCAGAATACACGAGCAATTAGCGGCTAAAAAAGACATTAGTCCCTGTCTGTCCTGGTAATAGCCTTAGTCCCATAAAAAAAAGAGAGAAACAACATGCTGTATTATGTCAGAGAAGACTTCACTAAGTGGTTGTGATGTTTTAATGAGGAACAACGGGATGGTGTGAGAAAAGGGAGGCAGGGGAATGCTTGTTAGAAAAAGAAAAGGAAAGAGTCAAGTGCTGTCTTACCATGGAGGAAGACACGGGTCATTTAATTGTGCTGTAATGGAGGTCAGCGTGTACATGGTCTCCTGGCAGGTCTTTGGTCCCTTAACCAGCCCCACAGTCTCCATGACTGACTGTCTGATGTGTGTTAAGGAGATCGAGAGTGATGAAGGAAGAGGATGAAATAGAAGACAACATGGAGGACCTCTAAGGCCTTGTTTCATTTAGTCCTCTGGTCACAGGAGGGAGTGGTGACTGACAGTAGAGGTGACTTGCCTGTCTGCACAGCTGATTGCAGCGTTGACTGACTCTCTTTCTATCCACCTCTCTTACACTCAGACTTTTTTCCTCCCATCTCTCTCTTTGCCTTCCTCCTTCACCTCGCTCTCTCTCCCCTGAGGATTTCTCTCGTCGTAAAAAAAGAAGGTTTAGTTTTAGAGCAAACATAGTAATGGGGTTGGGATAAAGAAACGAGGGAATGTCAGACAAGTTACAGAAGGAGGTAGTGTGTCTTGTCTTTTTTTCTCTCTCTCTGACAGCAGTAGGTCAGACGCTCACTCTGCAGTCTTATTTCTTCGCACGTATGCCGCCAGCAGTTCAGGTCAGCTGTATTTTGGCAGGGGGCAGCTCTACAGAGATATTCATTTCTGGGGCAACCCTGGGTGTGTTTTGGTTTGAAGAGGAGTTTGATTTTTTTTTTTTTTACCTTATTTGAGATTGAACTCAAGGTTGGAGTGGATGTATTAGTAAAGTTACAAAGGTGTTCAGTGTTTGTGGTCTGTCATTTGTCAGGGTATCGCCCTAGCTGCCGGCTATAACCGCTATTTACTGAGCAATGCTTTTAGCTTTTAATATTCCACAGAGTAGCACCCTTCTAAAACACGCGTGGTTTACGCTTTTAGGTATAAATCAGGACTGGGGTTATATAAAAAGTAAAAACTCAGAATTTACAAGGTTTCTGTAGAGAATTCCCAAGGAATGACGTCAGTACGCTGAGATTAAAATGTTAAATTTATGAGAAAATCCAAACATACCAGGAAAAAAAAAGACTTTTCTGACATAGGAGAATGAAAAACTTTTAAAGCGAATGTTGCTTGGTGCCCAATTTGATCATCCCCAGACTCTTTCGGATGAGGATACAGTTACAGGCATGACCTGTTGGTTTGTGTAGAGGCATGTTAAAGCCCTCAACCAAGACGGGGGCAAAGAGATAAGGTTAAAGCTGACTTTAAACCAAGCAGCACTCTTTGGTCTTGAGAAATGAAGCCATGGTTTACTGCAGTTAGGTTGAGTCACCATTTCCAATATGGTGACCACCCCCAATGGGCTTCAAAACCCAGCTTGAGAAACAAATAAGTTACATGCTCAGAACAGCACCTGACTTCAACAACAGTACATATAGGGTTCCAGCCACAGCACTAGCCACCAAACATCTTTTGCTTCAGAGCAGATGTATACCCCCTTTAGGTGCAATGTTAGCGGCTATCTTTGTTTGTATTTTAGTAATTGTGGTGGGTTCATAATAAGTTCAGTTATAACAACAGGAACCAATCAAACATTAAAGAGCAAGAGCAGAACTTGAAACAATAAATGTAGTCATTAAATTGACAAATCAATAAGGAGGAACACTCAGTTATTTCCTCTCTTTGAGAAAAACTTCTGCTTCATCATTTTTTATGATCTGATAACCCTCCAATCAAATGTCAAATGGGTACTGTATGCATTGGCTTTACTTGAGTGGAGACATATCATTGGAAATGTATGATATGTGTTATCTGGGATACACACCGATGAGTTGGTTGTTTTAAATAACACAACAATCTATAACAAAGAGGTTATGACAGAATCCAGCACCTATATCTGCACACAGGTGAAACTGTTGGACATGATCAATAAAAAACTGTTATCACTTATTTCCACTTTGATGCTGCTGGGTCACAGCTGTGGTCTGCGCCACAGAAAGAGAAAATGTAATATAACACATCCATTTTGAGCACAGAGAGTTGAAGAATAGTGTTTAACAAGAAAGACATGGGACGACTTATTTAATTTTGAATGGTCTGTTTTGGTGAAAATGGTCCCTTGCAACTTCCAAATAGCTGACAAAGACAGTGTTTGTAAGATTAATGTTTTATTTGGTTTATTGAGAAGGAATCATGTGGCATTAGGTCTTTTTTTTCTTGTAAACACAAGCAAAGGCCTAAAAAAAGTAGACGAGGGGGCAGAATGAGAAAAGAAAGGAGGAGGGCATAAACAAGTCGGGTTTGGCTGAGTGAGCAAGCTAATTAACTCGAAAAACTATAAAAATGTAAATTGCAATTTGCTACCGTGGGCATCTAATTAAAGCCACTGGAATGTTAAGGACCAAATTGAATTTGTTAAAGAAGAGGAAAAATATATGATTTTGCTACATTGTCAGGTATCGATCGCCTACAGTGGCCCTCGTCACAGCCAGGAGAGACAGGAGAGGAGAGAGAGAGAGAGGTGGGATGTGAAGAGGGAGCAGAGATGATTACAAAAAAGACTTGTGAGGAGAAAACCAAAGGAGACAACTAGTGATCCAAGCGTTCCCGCAAAAGCAAAACAGTTTGGCAGAGACAACAAAACACAATCCCCGCCAGAGACAGAGAATCTAATCAGAGCCAAACTGCCCCCCTAATACTCCACAGGTGCACAACACAGACGGTTACATGATACTTTGAAGAATTATTTGAAATAAGGATTGACTGGAACTTGCTACAAATCCTCATAAGGTTCACGAAGCCTCGAAGATCCTCCACGGCCCTGGAGTTAATTGCGTTAGCTTAATTGGTGCAGAGTATGTATGATACTCTGCTGTAATTATTGTGCATGCAAAATTGTGGTGGTTTATCTCGTTATGTCGTGTCCTCTGGGCATGTGATTAGTTTGTACTTGCGTATTTGTGTGGGTTTGTGCTTGTTTGTGTGTGAATCAGACTTTGTAAGAGTGTATATGAGTGTGTGGGGACGTGAACGCATGCCGGTAAAGAACAGAATCCTTACATTAATCATTGTTGAAGAGCCAAGCCGTCTGTTTTTAGTGTGGGTCCATTTCTCGATCCAAAACTGGAGGTGTATAAAAAAATAAAAGAAAAACCGAAGGGGAAGTTCGCCAGCTTCTGCACACTCTTTATTTTTTACTCATTCTGTTTTTATTTTACAGCTGCACGGCTCAGAATATTTAAGTTGTCATTCTACCAGCTGGGCGCAGGAAGGCAGAGGATTGTATGGCTTTTATTGAAGTAATAAACAATAATCACCAGCTCCCCGAACAAACAGAGCGGGCCGACTCAGTACTCTGGCTTTCCCCGCCATGATGTTAAATTCATAAAGCTAATGAGAGAGATTCTGGTGCAACAGAAAGGTGAGTTTTCCAGCTTCGCATAAATCCACATCTCTAAATCCTTTTTTCTGTTACTTCTCATTCATCCTCCTTGTTCTCGCTGATGTGTGAAACACGATCCATCCACTAATGAAATGTGTTTAGCAGCTAGCAAAGTAACATTTCTTTTATTCCCCTCTCTCCCAAAATAAAACAGCTTCTCATTTTAAGTAGAATGTACTGTGTGAGAAGGGAAGAATTGATTTCATTTGGAGTGCAGTCTAGACAGCTCATTGTGAAGCCAATAGAGCAAATGTAGCTGATAAGAATGAAAGCTCTGATAGACAAATTTACAAGCAGCCATAAATCCCTTCTTTTCTTCCCTCGCCAGCCTCCTCCTTTCCCAAACTTCCCGGCCTTCCAGCCGACGGTTGCAGTTTGTCAGCCCAGTAAAAGTTTTATACGTTCAGGGGAGAGGAATGGTCTGTCTGTTGGTGGCATGAGTTACAGTGTGCAGTAAACAAACCCCGAAAAAGGCGGTAAATAGACTGAATCAGGATGACAGCTTCAATAACGCGGTAACAAGAGCTGCTCAACACATGCTACAGTGGATGTGCTGTAATAGTGTGGTGTATCTGCCAGAGCAGACCTTTCTCCCACAAATATGAATGTAGACTGTCAGTGCAAGTAACTTATGTGACCTTTAGTGGCTGTTTGGACAGAGCAAAGGAGGAAGTCAGCCGTCGTTGTATATGGCACAGAAAGTCATAGTAAAGATGGAGCAGGATTCAAACTGAGACCAAACATTCACCCAGGAGGTTTGGGTTCATCTCTGTCTGCAGTGAACTCAACTTTAGGTGTTACCCTTGAGATAAACGTAAATGTCAAAAAGCTTACATCACTAAGATCTAGAATTAATCAAGAAAGCCACTTGTAAACCACAAACTTTCCTGAACTGAACCCGGTACTTTGGGTTAAGTTTTGGAGTAGAAACTAAAACTCCGAGAACAGCACCCTCTGTTGACAGGCTGCAGTATAGGTCATAAATCCCGCCTCCACCAGCAAAGCTTATAGAGCTGTGGACAAACTTTAGAAATTTATTACACAGAATATAAATTTTTACCCCCTGCTTGCGATGTTGACATAAGTTTACTGTAAGCCTGGTTTGTGCTCAAGTCCTTTTTTTCTTCTGTGCAGCTCCGTTTTTAAAAGTTATTAGGGGGTTCGTGTTTTCTATGATTGACACTTGATACAGCCTATGGGTGTACAAGGCTTGTGTAACTCAGCCGGGGTAATACGCTGTTTGAGCCAAGCATCATAACAGCGACTCTTGACGACTCTCCTGCCCGAGTGCGTACAACGCTACTGCACAATGTTGGTTTCAGGAAATTGAGAAAAAACACAGAATTACAGAGAGATTTTCGGCTTCAGGTCCGTATACTGAAGGAAGGCGGAACCAAGTTGTCCATAGTATATACACTCTGTGTATGTATCTTTTAATCTGATCATTAATAAATCTCTCGTCTTGTTTCTGCTTTGTTTACACGGTCTCAGCGTATTTTGAGTACTTTTTGAGCAGTTGTTCGGGCTTCTTGCGACAAATCCCAACATTTGCACTGCATTCCATGGCTGTCGAGTTTAATTGGGCTTTGGCGTGTGTTTATGTAGTTGCACCATTGTTGCAAAGAAGACTATTTGGACGGTTGCAGATCAGACCCTGTTAGCCATTGTAAATATTTAATGCCTGTGACCACGGAAAATGAAATCACGGCAAATATTAACAATAAGTGTTACACTTTTTCAAAGATGCAAGATGGTTTTGCCCACAGGGGGCGCCACAAACGAGACAAAGTTCCTTGTGATTACATATTTTCGCAGATGTTTGCAGAAAGCTGGACTTAAGTGAAATTAGCCTTTGAATAGCTTTCTAAAAACAAACAGATAAAAATACAACCTTGGATGGCTTGGCTTACCCCTACCAGTAGAAAGAGATCTTTTACACAGCTGCCACAGAACTTGCAGACCACACTGCCTTAATACTTTGCACCAAGGTGAACTCTATTGACTGGGCACATCATAAGCTGTTTACAGGTTGTGAGGAGTACTGCTGCACATGCATAAAGAGCTGTGCAAAGCTTTTCATGCAGCTCTTCTTTTATAGATGCACAAACATTTGCACAAAGTAGGAAGTGACCGAACCATATCGACCACATGACACATTCACTAAGCAACATTATTTATTTCTACAGTAAATCATTGTTTAAAGAATGCATTGTGTCAGTAATATACTTTCTTTATTATTATCGATGACATGCATGCATGCACACACATAAAGATTGATCCAAATAAAAGCTAAAGGAGTAAAATAGACCGAGATCATTATTGCATGTATATGTCGTATAAAATGACAGTGAATGATTACCTCAGTGTTGTTGTTGTTTTTTTTTAATCAAATAAATAAAGATATTCATGTTTTTCCCCTCTGCTGGTTGTAGCTCCTAGGGCCATGTTTTTTCACCAACTGCATCCCAACTCTTCATATTCATTGCCTGGAGAAGAAAATAATTTTTTACAACAAACAACCTATTAATAAGAAATCAATATGGAGAGTCCCAGAAGTGTTTTTGCGCAAAACGTTAATGAATTTTTAAAAACCTCTTAGGTGAAACAAATTGAAAAAAGTAAAGTAAGAGGATGCAGGATTTCACATAAACACACAGTGAGTGATACGGAACAGAAAATGTGTGTGTGTGTGTGTGTATGTGTGTATGAAGGCGGGAAAAGTTGTGTACAACAGAGGAAACAGAACAAGTGGGCCTTCTGCAGAGAGGAAGCCATTAAACAGAGGGTTTATTACCCCCCATACATCAATTTAAATTACATTTATGGGGTCGTTGATATCTATTAAACATGTGTTGATGCATTGTGAGTTTGAGTTTCAAATTGCCTGGCTCATTTACTTTTATTTGACCTCCATGTGCCTTTTGCATGCTCACATTTGTGTCTTGTACACTGTCAGAATCTTTAAAGGCAAGATTGTCGGGCGGTCCCACGTGAGTTAACAGAGGCAGGTTTGCTCTCTGGACAATGTGATACATTTTTTAATTGTAAAACACCAGCTTGTCTTTTATTATTTTGCCACTGAAACTCTCTGCATCATTTCATCTCTTGAACACATGCGTAATAAGTAATTTAAAGTATGTGGAAATGGGGATATTTAGCAATATCTGTCAGTCAGATGCTCCCCTGCTCACCCCTCCTGTCAGTGGCCGTTGAAGGCAATTAAAAAGTGTCTACAAAAACAATTATTTTGCCTACAACAACCACTTTCTTCTTTCTCTGCTTCATGACAGCTACTTATTAAATAAAACTAAGCATATTTCACTAGTTTGTCCATCCTGTGCTGTGGTAGAGACATGGCAGTGGCTTCTGTAAAAGGATACTCCCTAAAGAGCTCATTTTGAGTTAGTAAAAAATATATATTTTGTGTTTTCCAGTAATTAAACAATTATTTCAACAAAGTCCGTTTAAGTGAATGAAGCTTAATACTACTACACTGCACCTGCAACCTCTCTCCGTGTGTCTATGAGCTCTTGTACGATGTTTTTCCTGCATTTGTCCTATTTTTAATTACGACAAAAACGTACTGTGCTGCCAGGACTCATTTGTTCCTCATTTAAAGCAGCTGGTTTTTAATGTTGCAACCGTGGTGCATTTAGCCAGTTTTACGGTCAGACCATCAATATGAACAAACATGTGAACAACCACTCCCAGATACAAACACATTAAACGGCAGGCTGTGAATCAGGTGCTGCACCCTCTGTAAAATCTTTTTGTTTGTCCTGCAGGGCATGGGGATCCTTGCAGCCCTGGTCCTGTGTGTATGTGTGTGTCATGACGTGTGTCTCATTGTAGCTTTACCTCTCTCTCTCCTTCTCTCTCTCTCTGTCTTTCTCTGTGTGTATGCTTGCAGGAAAACCTTACAGGGTCTTGGTACAGAAGGACACAATGAGGTGGCAGCTCCGCTTGGCTGGTCAGGCATAGCCGGAACAGGAAGAGAGATTACCTCCCAGAGGGTCTCTGTTGGTGTGTGTGTGCGTGCGTGCGTGCCTGCCATCCTTTTCCAATTAGAGACACAGTCACCTCTTTGCCATCAGGGTCACTGGTGCATTTGTTTTTTTGTTTTTGGAGAACACAGTACCATCTCTGCATGGTTTCAAAATGTGAGACCGAACTGCTTGATTTTTCCATCCAGTCACATTTTAACAATACGTGACCTCTTAGGGCCCCGCGGCCAATAGGGGGCCCCCAAGAGCAATCAAAATTTTCTTTTATTTTTTGCATGTATGAGTGATGCTTTCTGTATAATCAAATATATATTATAGTAAAAATAAAATAAAGTAAAAACATTTAAACGCTGCTGCTGATTTAGGCCTATGATTCTTACTGCTGATATGTCAAAGCTCTGCTGCCGTTATGTGCCTCCTGCTGTGCAATGTGCACCGAGCATCCAAAGAGCAGTTAGTTGTGGGCAAAACAATGTCGCAAAAAAAGACATATCCTTCAGGAGCAGAGAAAAGAAAGAGGAAGAAAAAAACGCCAAGATAAAGGTATGTTTGCATGTCATGGAATGTAAATCAAAGAGATTTGTGAAGGTGGGTGAGTGATCATCAATCAATATTATTGGCAGAAATAGAGGGCCCCAAAATCAAATTTTGCATAAGGCCCCATTGAGGCTTGGGCTGGCTGTTATGCATTAAACAGCATGCCATTGTAACATACAATTTGCGTGCAAAAAGATACAAATCATGATCTGACACGCCAACCAACTCTGTTTAAAGAGGTAGGCAGAACAGTCCACATGACTGTTCCCATAAAGTGTTAAACACACTGTGTGAGTCACTGAAATTTATAGTATAGATAGATATAAGCTTTGTTCCTGTTGTTCACCTGCCAATCTGCCCCCTTTTCCTCCTTGTAGTTCAAGTCAAAGGTTCACATATACACTGAGCAGTTCTTAGGCGCACGGGGAAAAGGAGTCATATCTTCCCAGGGGACGCCAAGACAAGTCAAAGTCTATACTGTTTTCACAGAATACAAACCAAGCAAGAAAAAGAGTCCTACCCCTAGTATGTGCATAACATCCTCACTCCTCGTTCTGCAGCTAATAAGAGCTTGGAGCTTTAAGCTAAAACTTCAGGTGACTTCACAAGTGACTCCACGTTTTCAGGGTTTTGTGGAAAATTCAGTACAATATCAGAACTCCTGAAATAGAAGACAGTTTCTTTATCTGTTCAAAGTCCTAGGCCTCTCTTTGAAGCAGGCCTGTATTAGAGGCAGGCCTTTGTGACAAATTCTCTCTGACTGAGGAGTACATTTTTCATATTTCAGTGAGCAAAAAGATCTTTTGCTCACTTGCTTTGCACACACTGAGCTTGTACAAACGTGTCAAAAAGACGTTTTTTTTTAAACAGTTTTAATTTCAGTTCGTTCTCAAGTCAGCAAAAGCAGTCACGGGAGCTTTGACTGAACACCGACCTGTCGCTCACAAACTAACACCAAGTAAACTGCCTTTTCTCTCCTACGCTTCCCTTGTTTTGAACATATTGACTCTAAAATTGTAAACCTCAAGCAAAGTGAAATTAAAACACAGAGAATCAACAAGCACACAAACTTGGAGGAGTTGAGCTTTCATTTAGGGCTAATAGTTTCTCATTAGGTGACTCTTTTGTCAGAAAAGACCCCCAGAGGGCGAGCTAACGTACAACTTAGTTTTTAACTTGATTTTCATAATCGTGTGTTCACATCTTCGAGCAGTGTGTAGACAAACAGACAGACAGATAGATAGATACAGAGATAGAGGCAGACAGACGGGACATGTATCTGGAGGGGAGAGTGGTATTCTGTGAGGATTGATAGACTCCATATTGTGAGCTAATGATCTCCCTAGGGCGCTGGAGAGAAACGATGAAACCAGCCCGCATGACACTGTCACACTCCCCATGTCGCGCTGCCACCTTCATCTCTCTGTCTTTCTCCCACTCTCTCCCTCTCTCTTTCCTACTCTCAATCTCTTTGTCTCTTCCGCCGGGAAACGCGTTGATTCACCTTTGTTTGTTCTGTCACCCACACATTTTCAGCTGTCACAGCGGGAAACCAAGTTCATCCGACTGATAGAGCCGGATTAGAGTAAGAGACGCACGCTGTCCTCATTTCCCAAAAGTGAAACTCAACATCACATTTGGCTCAATGATGAAAAATGCCAGAAATGTCTGCAGGAAGTGTAAAACAAAGTTACTGTAGAGATGGTTAAATCTGTGTAAAAAAACTACCATGTGTAGAAATTGAAGGATAAAGATCATTTTAAACCAACTGTCAGCTATCAAACGATAACAGTCACATTAAAGCCACCGTGTGATCTCCTGTTGTGTTGATGGAAAAGCAGTCATGTCCTTCAGTCTGGTTGTCAATGCAGTGCCATTCCTTTGTTGCAATGAGGGAGCATCACAGAGTTTTTCACTTCAGACCAGGGTTAACAGAGCAACAGTTTATAACAAAGCTCCTCTGTCAGCAGCTCAACTTCCACTCAGACTGAAAGTGATGCGATTGCAGTCGTTTGTTTTCTCTTTGTTGCTTCTATTCAAAAGACAAAATTAGACTTTCAAAGTTATTGTATGTGTCAGTGTCTGTGCTCGTTTTATGCCTCTTTGTATTCATTTTCTCTCTTTTGTTCTTCTTCTGTCTCGGTGTTAGTTTTGTGCCCTTTTGTGGTTGTATCGGTACTTTATCTATTCTTTGTCTGAATGGAAGTTCTTGATTATGCTTTCCTGACGAGACTTAACGGGCTGACGTATTAGATGTGTAATTATGTATATTTATTGCTTTGAATCCTGTTTTTATATTTTATCATACTCCCTTTGTTAAAATCAGGGCTGCAGCTGAAATACCTCTAAGATTGTTACAGATGCTACAGGAAAAAATCATGATCAATCGATGATTTTGTTGTTGTTTTAAGTCTTTATTTAGTTATTAATCTCCCCTCAATTTTAGAGCTTGTGTCGCTTTGAGTACCAATCATTTGTAAGATTATACTTTCTCTTTTTACTTTTTCATTCAGTCATCAAACAGGTCTACAGGACTGAGCCTATACTTCAAAATAAAAGCATAGTTTGACGATACAGTAAAATCACAAGTAGTAAGTACAAATGATGCAACCCAAACACAGGACAAAAAAATATTGAAAGAAAAGCATATCAAAAAAATCATTTTATGAGGCAATGTCTTTTCTAAAGAAATCTCCATCACATGGTTGGTGAAGTGGATAAGTCAAACACTGGTGACTTCCTGTGGTTGGTTTGTGCATCTTTTTTTTTTTAATAATCAGATTTTATTCCATTTTTAGAACATAACAACAATACAGCATTGCATACATCAATAAGGTCTGAGCGAGTGGAAACAGATGAATAAGCAGAACTCAGTAAAAAAAGGAAAGAAAGGGGAAAACGTAAAACCTGTAAAAATAAATAAATAAATATCTACAAACTAATATATATTAAAAAAAAAGAAAAGACAAGCACGACCCCAAAAAAAAAAAAAAAAAAAGGGAGGGGGAGGAAAATAAATAAATAAATACATATATACACATACATGTCCCTGCACCTGATATGAAAGATTTCTTGGTTTGTGCATCTTTAAAGTTCTTGAAGTTGACTTTCCAACAGAAAATACTCATTTTAAACAGCTGTGGCTTCCTGACCCGTGTTTGGCTTGTTCAGTAATCCTTTCATAGCTGTACTTGTACTAACAGGCTGGAATAAAAAAAAAAAAAATCTGTTGCTACTACATCATCTTCCACCTCTTAATGTGTACCTTGTGTCACTGCCCTCCTCCAACACTGGAAACAAATAATCTCCTTTTGATGCTGACACCTTACCATTTTCACTTCATTTCCACCTTTTCCTGAGAGAGAAAGTCTTTGTAGCCGAGAAATACCGTTTTTTTCAGTCTCACCTCTCCTCACCTCCCCTCAGTTCTCAATCAAATGTACACAGCGAGATCTTTGTTTTGATTGCTTTGCTGGCTTCATATTGTTGACTTGTTTTATATAGAGAGGGATGCTCGGGGAGGGAGTTGTTGTAGGGGAGCCACAGCTGGTAAAAAGGACTGAGATGGGGTCAGATGTGGGCTGAACTATATGTTGGTTTGCTTTGAAATTGCTTAGACTTATCTGTCTGGATTCTGCTGCTATTTCAACCTTGTGTATTCCTGTACTAGAGTGTAGATAAGATTGACAAAGACAGAGAAGCTTTTCAGGGGATTTATGCTACTTTGCTACTTGTTTAAAGGGTAAAAAAGATGTCCTCTGTACCTCTGACTCATCGTGCCATTTTCTACCATTGCTTTGATTTCCTGAGTCATTCACTTTGTTTTTCTTACCTGCATCATCAAGGGAAGCACATATAAGGGCCATTACACATGCCGTTACAAATCTCAGAGGGAAAATAACATTGATTGAGGGCCCAGGGGACTGTGAGTCACTCACCGAGGCAGATTCGTCTTCGCAGCTCCATCTTGACACACCAGCGTGGTGTCCTGTTTGAAAATGAAAGCAATTTTAAGTGTCTGGATTTTGGCAGACTTTAAAACTTTCATATTTTTTTTTCGGAGTAGCAAAGCAAGGATGAAAACCTGCCAGGTCAATAAAGGTTTAGCATTGTGTCTACGATTACATTTTGGCAATGAATGTTATTGAACAGACGATGAGGTTTTTTGTCGATTTTTACTATTCAGCCACACAATAATCATAGTATAGCCTGTCTTCTGGGATCAGACTGGATACTGATCAATACCCACTGAATCATTAATATGCCAGGCCTCTCATATTGTACTCTAGCTTGTAATAAAACCACTACCATTAAATCGAACACCTACTCACGCTTAAACCTGACAAAAGATGCAGCCTTTAAGGCCAGTGATTGAGAAAGCAAATAAAAATCAATGTTATTATTACAGAACTTTGCATTTAAGGATCACACATCATGCTTGTCACCTTAACTTTTATTAATTTTCTATTTAAACTTATAATTACAATTATTTCCTGGGTCTAATGCTCACCTTGGAAAAGTAGGAAAAGGAAAAGAAATCAATAGGAGATATCCTCCATAGGGTGCATCCTGTGTATGAATGTCTTTAATTTGCTTGCTTTTTCATTTCAAAATTGTGTGTCGGATGGGAATTAACTCTCTGCAGTGAGAGATGGATTTGTTTCAAAGGCAAAATCAGTAGGAAAAGTTAAATGAGCATGATCAGTGTTTTTAGGGAAGCATAACACCATACCTGTGAAAGTGCACTTTTATGATATTGCTTGATATGCAAAATTTAGCAAAGGGTTAACAGAGTTAAAGCTCCAAGATCAAGAATAAATAGACAAACATTTTGCCTATTTGGTGTATATCATTGGAGACCAGAGATTGAGTTATACTCTTCAAAGGAGAGAAAAAAAATATGAATATTACTCTGAGTTTTATTAGATTTGTTGAGCAACATTTTCTGAGACATTTTGTGTGCATAGGGTTAGGGTTATAACTTTTTACACAGCAAGCTCCCCTTTCCACCTTTTTGGAACGGGTTGCAGACATTCAATTCAAAATGAGTCCCATGAATCCCAGTCCGCATGATTTACATATATTACTACATTTAAACCTCTCTGAGTGTATCTTTCTGTCTCCTACTCGCCGACTCAAACACATCCTCACCCATTCATACTGCTGAAACAATTACTGCGAGTTTTGTTCTGTGCTGAAAGAGCTGCTGAGGTGTTCCTGTTCTATAATTACTCCTCTCCATGTCCCACTGCAGTGCCCCAAACCACCATGTCTGCCTCAGCCACTTTGTTCAGCGGATGTCAGATCGCACCATGTGGTCCATGTTGAGAGGGACCATTATATTTAAAACACCACAGGAACTTCTGAAACAACAGGGACACTTGGTTCCTTTGTTAAAATGTCCTCTATATTTGACACGAGCCTCCTCGTGGTTTTTTCCTTTAGTGTGTGGCGACACCTGCTCCCTTTTCCTGTCTTTATTGCCCTCCTCTCGTCTTTTTATATCTCCCCCCACCAATCTTTATGCCTCACATGCTTTCACACTCCATTTTCCATGCTGGCTCTGGGTATCCCCACTGTGGAGAACTCTGCCTGTTTCATCAGGGTGTGGAAACTGTGTGCTAATATTGCCTGCTTATATCCATTGGGTGGGATAATGGCAGCCATCACTCACTGATGCTGCACAAAAAGTGACATTTTGCTCTCTTTGTGCTGACAAACAGCATAAACCTCCCACTGCTCTATCACTCCCTCTCCTTTTTCCTTACATGTACTCCCTTTTGTCTCCCTGTCCTTACATTTGTCTGTTTCTTTTGTTTTATTTGTCTCCCTGCTCCTTTGTTTTCATCCACAGTTCAGTCTGGTGTCATACAACAAGGCAAAGGTCATGACCGCTATAGTGGATGTGGGTACAGAAATGGAAATAGCACTTGATTCTGAAAGCTTTACCAGTGATCCTTTTACCCATGCATAAATTATTCAGTTAAGTCCTAAACAGGGGGACACATTAAGAGTCATGGCTACTATTACAACTCAATCATCCTGCAGGGAATTAGCATTGGAGCTCATTTACTGGATTATTGGCAGGGTAAATGATTGACATATGACCAATCTATATGTGCATTAAAACCCAGCAGTCATATCAGTTTCTGTGTCTTTGTCTACATCCTTGAAAACCAACATTTTAAACCCACTGGACTAGGATTCATGCACAAAAACAGCAGATATTTCAGTATTTAATTCACCAGACAAAGAAAAACAACCCTTCATATGAAATTCAAGTCCATGTCAACATGACCTTTTTAGAGCTTTTTGGTGAATTTGTCTTTAAATGACTTAAATCTACAAAACCAAATTCCATTGAAGTTAGAAAATTGTGATAAACATAAATAAATCAGAAAACAATGATTTGCAAATCCTTTGCAACCTATATTCAATTGAATACACTACAAAGACAAGATATTTATGTTCATACACATAAACTTTATTTATTTATTTTTTTGCAAATAACCATTAACTTTAGAATTTGATGGCAGCAACACATGACATAGAAGTTGGGAAAGGTGGCAAAAAATACTGAGAAATCTGAGGAATGCTCATCAAACACCTATTTGGAACATCCCACAGATGAGCAGGCTAATTGGGAACAGGTGGGTGCCATGATTGGGTATAAAAAGCAGCTTCCCCAAAAATTCTCAGTCATTCACAAGCAAGGATGAGGCGAGGTTCACCACTTTGTGAGCAACTGCGTGAGCAAATAGTCAAACAGTTTAAGAACAACAAAGTACAATTGCAAGGAATTTAGGGATTTCAACATCTACGGTCCGTAATATCGTCAAAAGCTTCAGAGAATCTCGAGAAATCACTGCATTTAAGCAGCACAGCCAGGAAATAGCAGTCCTCTAAGCATTTTATTGAAATGTTAGGTAAGTCGTGACTTTTGTCAGTGGGTTGTTCGGTGCCAGGATGATAGTCCACAGGGTTTCAGGTTCTTCGTTGTGAAACCAGCTCCCTGTTTTGGCAGAATAGGTATAAAAAAAGTTGTATTTGTGGCCTAAAATTTCAAAACACAACAAAAAAAGCTTAAACACCCTGAAGAATTGAGGGAAAGGTGTGAATTTCAAAGACATGAACGCTTCAGTTGTAAGACGCTGAAGGTGTATGCATGATTGCCTTTATGGAAAAATAACAGTCATTTAAAGGATACCATAAAAACTCTCTATTCCCATGCCAGGTGGCTGCTATTGTTATCATCAGATTAATTAAATCATAATTGACAACAGCGTATGTGAGATTTCTATCACAATAACTGCACAATACAGAAACATTTCCTGACCTGCTTTTGATAAGACTGAGTTTTTTCATAAAGCTAATTAATTAAAGGACTGATGTAAACACTCAACATGAAGGACAAAACAACAGCAGCGAGAAACAGCTACAGCCCAAGGGGGCCCGTGAGTTGGAGGCATTGTTAAGAGGCGCGAGTTTGCAGAAAGATTTTTCTCTCAATTAGAACTGCGAAGGTATCTGGCACGTCTGCTTGTCTCACACAGGACTGAACTGCAGAGGCTTATTTGTGTAATTGCTTTGGCTCAGGTCGATGCCCTGAGGTGAGCCCAGAATGGCCGCTCTGTTCATTTGCCTGGAGTCAAAACTGAGGGCTAAAAGTTTTCTTTTCTCTTTTTTATTTTTTAATAGAAATGTGTTTGTGTATGCTCATACTGCACAGCAATTTACACAAAGACAATGTATGAATACTTGATTCTACTCCTGTAAATGATCAAAAAACCAAGCACATAGATCACTAAGTGACAACTACGAAATAAAACGTTTTCCCTTCATAATGTAGCGTCAAAGTTCTCTCCTCAGTTTTAATGCAGATACTGGCAAACTGCAGTGATTGACATGCTGGGGAGTATGAAAACCCACTTTGGCAAACCATTACTTTAAAAAAATCTAAGAATTTGAAGGGAAAAAGTTCACCTGAGCCAAAAGTCTCTGAAGGAAGCACTTTACAGCTGGACTCACTTTCCACCAACAATGTGAGAATGTAGGAGATCACAAGATGTATCACTGAACATAGAACCTGAGACCAACAGATGTTTCCTGTGGTCAAAAATTAAGAATTCATAAGGTTTGCGAACAAGCCAGAACCAAATAAAAAGACACCAACATATCATACCGCACCATACCTAAGTCTAACATTGTTACCAGCTCTCTATAAAGAGGCTAAGGCTAAATTATCACCTCTACTTGAATCCATGGATCATAAAATGTGTTTGTGTAAGAATTTAGAAAAGCAAACAGATGTTGAGGTATAACAGCAAGCAGAGGTCTGCTTCTACAATACAGCCATTACTGAACAGACTACAATGAACAGACATTATATGCACAGAAAAGTGTTATTTTCACACCACAGCAAAAGTCACAAATATACAGTCCATAAATCTCCAACAGAAAGCTCAACTTTGTCAAAAATGTCATTTTTCTCAGAGTCAGCCTGCACTTTACAGTAAAGCGTAGCCTTTACCCATTAACCCGACCAATCTTGAAGCACTTTTGTCTGCCCTTTCAAATCGCTGTCTCCAGGGTAACTACAGCAGTAACTCTTGCACCTGTTAAGTACTGAGACGAGAGAGCAGATGATCCACCTGAAACCCGACTGTAATCACTTCAATTCATAGACTACCGATCTCCTGTGGTTCTAGTCCTGCAGAAATACAGTGGGTGGGTAGAAAAATACTCAACTTACCCCAATGTATTTGCAAAATAATCAACTGAAACCGATTGCTGGGATAGCTAATGTTTTACAACACCATGTCTCCCCGAGGTGTATGCAAGAGTTCAGTACATGTGGGATAAGCAAAAGGCACTCAAGGGGTTGCCGACGGGTCACCAAGGGTCACCAAGGGTCAGCGATCTTCAGTCCCATAACCCCAGAGATGGTGACTGTTGTGTGGTCGCAGCAAGACAGCACCAACCGACTGCAGGGTCAGGGCAGCAGGGACTCCGGGTGCTCTCCCTTTGAATGTGACAAATACAATGTGACATGTCGGTGCATGCTCAGGCACATAGCCCCCTTTCACTCATACCAGAGCACAGTTTTCCCCTTCTTTTTCTTGCGCACACACAAACATACTCTCTCTCTCTCTCTCTCTCCCACACAGTAACAGACGTATAAATACAAAAAGAAAACCCAAACAAAAGCTTTTCTCTATTTCCCTCTACAAAGCCAGAAACAACAAGACACTCAAAAAGAGACACAGTTACTCACTCTTGCATGAACACACACACACGCACACACACACACACACACACACACACACACACACACACACACACACACACACACACACACACACACACACACACACACACACACACGCACACACACACATACACTGCTTCCCCTGTGGATGTAATCAAAAGAAGCCACTCTGCCCTGCACTATGTAAAAGTACCAGCTTACTTTTATTCTCCCCGGTCTCTCTCTTCTCTCTTCCTCCTTTTCTCTTTGGGTGCCTTTCAGATATTCCATGTCATCCCATCTCTCCAGCACCTCTCCCACAACCCAACACTTAAGTGCATTTGCAGACCCTCTTAGATAGGTTGTCATGTATATTTCAAAGCCATTTCGAAGCACATTTAGACACAATGAATGCACATTTAGCAAGAGGCTATCTTGGGCAAACATTCATGCTGAGACATTTTGGAGACATTCCTCCTTTCTGAATAAGACATTTTCAAATGTCATGCACTTACAGTCACTCTGATAGTAATATATGATTTGCACTGTGGGATAATAAACTGTTAGAGGTTTTTCTTCCAGATATTAAGCCGATAGATGATAGAAATAATAGACTTTCCAACTATAATTTGTCCTACTGCCACCATATTAGTTTTCTGGAGCCAGAGGTTACCATATTTGGAGTTGGAAAACTCCAAGTTATCAACAGTCAACACCTTTGGCTTGCTAATTCCCTGATAAATGAGCTAGTTCATCCTCAAGTTTTCCACAGAGTGAGGTATTTTTTAAATTGTCGCTAACCTTAGCTGTTTCTTAATCAAACTAAAGAACCTGAGAGAGGAAGCAGAATGCTCACAGAAGACTCGCCACTCACTCGCCTGAATGAGATAAATAATAGACATCCCCGTCAACTGGGGGAGCTGCAGGTGACAGAAATACTCTGAGTAACATGAAATAACAGGTTGTTTTGTCACCACTGTCCACCATAATCACTTTGGGGAGAAGCCACAATGAATGCTGCTTCATGAGCGTTAGCGGTCAGATTAATCCATGTATGATTGCCGCTCATTAACACTACCTGCTATTTAACAGAAAATAAGCAAATACATTTAGACATGAATCTCACTCACAAAAAAGCCTGAGCCTAGACTTCCTAGATGAACAGAACGCTGGATTATTTCTCTAATCTTTAAATGTAAAAAATCACACTGACACAGACAGAACTAAGCAGTTATGTTGAGTGACAAATAACTGTGTAGATATTTTTGGAAATATCGCTTTTTTCCCTCCCTCCACAGACCTACCTACTAGCAGATACACAGATAATCAAACATCACCTCACCTATAAACTCATCTGAACTTGAATTTCCTCTTTGATGCACTAATGGAAATTAAGATAGTTTTAACCTTATATCTGCTCTTCCTCACAGCCCCCACCCAGGATCTTTGGATGCTTAGAAGTGTGAATAATATTTATGGTTAAACGCCATCTGTTTCTGGAGCCTAAAGTGAATACCAACACGGCCGGCTAACATTGCAATTAACAGAGCCAAGATGTCAAGAACAGCAGAGAGGCCCGTTTTGAGCCTCCTGCTCCAGGAAACAAGAGGCAGATGTGATGTGAGCAAAGATGACTTTTTGAGGTAAGAAAAAAAAAAACCTATCTCCCTTTTACCCTTACCTTCACTTGCCCATGTGGGAAAGGTTCATGAGTATCATCTCTGCTGAGGGGAGCCTACTCTGAAATATACCAGCTTTATAAATGCCTGTCTTTCTCCATTTTCCCCTTTAAATGCAGAGAAGAGAAACACAAGTCAGGTAAATGAGAGACATGCTGTTGTTTCTCTGGATTGAAAGTAAATTGCATTTGCCCTGCCATGCACAGCTTATCCCTGCAGGCTTGTTTTGTTTGTGCTAGTGTGTGTTGTTGCATATGTGAATAAAGAAGCAAATGCATTTTTGAAGCTTTATAAATAAAAGCAAATACACAACAGAGAACAGAAACACTTACTGAGACTAACGTGGATGAGTTTGAAAAAAGTGATTTGTGGGTAGAAAAATGTGTCATGCACATCATTGTTTGAAATCCTTGTCTCAAAGTTTTCTGTCAACTTTGAAGATTTCATCTTATCTGTCTCCATTTTACTTTTGTCACATGTCAGTCTTGTAAAAATAAATGCAGCATTGAATTCATGATATGGCAAAGACAACTCAGCTTTGTCATCACCAAGCAACTGCAATTATTTTAGAGAAAAGCATTTTTTTTTCTTGCATGAGGTTATATTTGTGATCTTATCTTATCTTATCTTATCTGCTCACCAATGACTCCGCCTTGTTCCATATTTACAGTTTAAGTCAAAGAGACATGGAGGATCTTCCTTTGTGTGCACTGAAACACTTGATGTTTCACTTCTACTGATACCATTGAATCTAAGGGCTAATTAATCCAGTGTTGTTGATAGGCATGTGTCCTGCATCTCTGACACATTAAAAGCTAAAATGGTGCAGTTTAATATCTATCCGTGCATCCTATACTGAATACACTCCAGAGCAGAATTGTACATATCTACAGTAATGCTCACAATGTCGCCATATGTCACATTACAAATCTGCACTGAAAACAAAACTCATGTTAAGTATGATGAAGTATAAAAACAGTTAAAACTAACTGTCAGGGCATTACTTTGACAATTGTATAACAGCTTGACAAGATACAGCAACTTGTGCAGAGCCTGCTTCTCTGTGTTTCGCTTGTCACCCTGCAGGTTGCTGGTGGGCCACACCTGGGAACACCTGGCCAGTCTCCCAGATGGATCTAAGTCCTCCCTCTGTTCTGCTCTCTCTCTCTCTCTCTCTCTCTCTCTCTCTCTCTCTCTCTCTCTCTAGCTGCTCCACGTGGCAGCCTGGTTTTGTTCAGTTGACTTTGACTGTCTCTTCTGTTTATTTTCCACAGCGACCAACATGCTCCACACATCTTTCACTCACCCAACAGTCGACACACTGATTTGCTGACACAAACACCTCACCGCTGCTGTACACTGTTTTAGTTATTGCACAATCTATAGCAATACACTTTTGCATCATTCAGCTGACCATGTATTTTCTCTTCTTTCTGTCATGTCTGGTGAGCTGGGTCATGACAATACTGTTCAGGTAGTATGGAGGTGAATTGTGCTGTCCAACACACACCACCAGATGGTCAAAATTAGGCTGGTTTTATCCAGACTCCGTAACACTACTGTTTTTAGCATGGTAACAAGCTGGCTCAGAGGTCTGTGGTGGGCTAGCATAGCATGACTTAGCATTTTAACACCTAACTCCCTTTCTTTCTTTTTCTCAAGGAAGCATCTCAAAACCATCTCCACACCAAAGCGCTTAAACACTAAAAACATGAACAAAATGATAGTTACCTGTTTCTTTTCTTTCACATGGCCTCCACTGTTGCAACCAGGAACTTCAAAACAGAGGACAAGCCTGTCATTGGTTTATCAACAGGACCTATCAGTGGAAGGCGCCAAGTATTGTGAAGAGGGAGGGGGATTTTTGATGTAGCTGTGAGATATGTTACTTGTGTTTGAAGATCTACTTAGTCTATATGTAAATCCTCCAAATGTTAAATGTAACTTTGCTGTAAAACCCGATAAATGGTACCTTGCAGACCAAGTTTTGTGTATTTAAAAAAAAGAAAAAACTCACATTTTTTGCTGTTAATATACTAACTTCTTTTGTATTTGATAAATATAATAAGTCTTCAGGGAAAGTATGAAACTTAACTTGTTAGAAAATGTGTTTGTTTAATGCAAACTTACTTAAAGGTGCTATGAGGAACTTTAAGTCTGTGTTGACCGTGTTCAGTTAATTTTATCACTCTGTGTGAATATTTGCAGTGGGAGAAGTTATAAAGGTTGTCTCTTCAGGGTTCAGCAGTTAAAAATTACAGTTTAAAAATTGCCAATCCTGTCATGGATGGTCTTATTTGCTTTTATACAACATAGAGACACATCATTGTTTATTTCAGCCTTTTTCATATATTTAAAAAACTCCTTACAGGAGCTTTAAAAATGTAATTAGTTTACATATGCTTTAAGCAAATAATGAGTGTATTTTAATAAAACAGCAATAAAGGAAACAAACTGAGACCAGAGTAAACACAGACATTTAAGAATTGGCTTCTTTTAAAATGCTCCATAGCTAGTATTAAAAATTATATCTTCACCCTTCCCTTCTTTCTCTTTCCCTCTCTTTCTGTTTCTTCACTATTCCTAACACTTCATCTACAATAGAGCTGTGTGAAGAAGAGACCGGCTTTTGTGCACCCCAGTGGGATCGCTGGTGTTTTGATTCACACATTTGGGTTCAAGCAGCACTGACCTGGAGGTGACAGTGAAACTCAATTCTTTGGAGAGTTAGGTGTTGCCAAGGCTGTTGAAAGCACCCCCCTGTGAGGTCATACTGTGAGCCATGATGCATCCAGTGGATTTACTCTGATGATACAGAGTAAAAAGGACTGATAGCCCGTGTGCCACGATGGCATGTTATCTCCTCAGGATGAAGTTTGTCAGGTTTGACAAGAGAATAAGGAGGGCAGATGATTGTGTGTTAACTGTGATAATATAAACATGCAATAGATGTATTATCCGTATGTTTATCATCTCAACCCGTGTCTGATAATTGCTGCCATGGTCCAGTGGGCATGTTTAAGTGTATGCTCCAGGGGGGGAGCAAGTTATACCTCCCAACATCAGCTGGCCTCAAAACTGCTTCTATAATGCATGAGGATCAATACTCTGTGGCTTTGTGAGTGAGGTCTTGCAACTCAGTGTCCATACCAAGTATACTCACCAACTGCCTGGCTGTTTGAAGAAATCTACGCCTTTAGATTTACCAAAGCTCAAGGGAAGACAAACAACAAGTCTGGATCTCCACACTGTGTGTTTCTTTTTCTTTTTAACATGACAAAAAAAAGTTGGTTTTGCTGCGTTTGGGGTATTTTATCATTGTAGTCTTTTGAATGGCTTTCATGTCAGCTTCTAAAGTAAAATTTCCCACAAATCAGTATGAAACTTTTTTCTTTTCTTTTCTTTTTTTTTTCCGTATGTGTGTTTAATACAGTCAAATTGTGAGAACTAGAATGGGCAGAAGTGAGAGAAGTGGCTGCTGCCTCTGCCACCTGAAAGCTACTAGATCACTGAGCACCACCCTTGGTGTGAAACTGTATCAACTGCTACTGAGCTTGTTCTATAATGTTCAACAATCTCCAATTATCTTTGGATTTAACACTTGGAAAAAAAAAACGTTTTAACAAATTACTAAATATATTCCCATATTGTTCCGTTTAGGAGGACATGTATGAGACTCAATGGTGCTGTAACCATGGTTTAACTGAATCATAGATGCCATAGTCTTTTATTATTCATCACCTATACGATTCCCTGTAGTATACTCTGTAAACCTGAAATAACATATTTCTTTTTCTGGCAATAAAGCCACATGATCATATAACACAACACAACCAACGGCTCTGACTCATTTTTGCATTCAACGGCATTTATCATAGTCAACCATCTTTTAAACTTTGTGTGACTTTAACAACCTGCCAAACTGTTAAACCAAACAAGCCCCCAGCCGCTCTCCCTACAGCCTAATGGCCTGCTGCAACGGCTGTTTGTCTTGTTTAATGGTAATTGGGGGGCATCTGACTCTAGACTGTGTTATCCGTTCCTGCTGAGAGTCTTCTTCTTGCCCCTCTGGGTCCCCTGCTTTGTAGGTATCGGATCCTGCTCTAATGATATCATAATTGCTGTTTTCCCTGACAGTGGACAATGGTTGCCAAGCCTGAAGGTGGTCCAGCAGATGAGCTGAAGATCAAACCAGGAACACTGTCGTGATGATAAAGACACAGTGTAGATGCAGAAAGAATAACACACATGAAAGCTTAATGTATTGTAGTCTTTTTAATTGTTTTTTTTTATGCGTTTCTCTTCTATCGCTTTTTGTAATTAGATTATCTACAGGTACAGTATCTATACTGGATGTGTGTACACACACAAATGCGGGCTAATGATGCATTTCGCAAATTATTCTTGCAATGTGTATAAACTGAATATCTGTGTTTCACAAAGACTGGCTCAGCGCACATTCACAGCAGTGAGATAGTGCAGCTCTTCTGAACAATCATTTCTCAGTCCAGCTGAATTCATGCTGACGCTCCAGTTTGCTCAGTTTGCTTTCTGAAAACTCCCCTTTTCCTCTTTTTAATCCTCTAAGGGTAAGCAGAGGGAAAGAGGGAGGGAGAGAAAAAGAGAGGGACCAGCATTGAATGCTGACAGGGACATAACTTGCCTTTCCCTGCATACCTTGTTTACAGTCTCCCTCCCCGCTGCTATACCCTGCTCCCTCAATGGACCCATAAAAAACAAATAGGGGCTTTTAGAGAAATTGCCTTTGCACTGAAGATTAATAACAGTTGCACCAGTTCACCCAAGAAAGGCTCCAGAGGCAAAAACGATATTGGAAGATTAAAAGTGCCACATCCCTAAATTGGAGTGATTCAGAGCTCAGGCTGGTCTCTAACCAGCTTATTGAGAGTCAAGGCCTTGGTCTTACTGCCAGACAAAGAGCATCATTAAGTATTTACTTCAGGATGAGGATGGGCTCCAAGGATGAGTAAAATGATGAGCTGAGGCTGTGATCTTTCTTCTGTGCCCAAAAATGGAAGTATAGCGGTGTAGCTCATGTTGCTGTACTGATCCCTGGACCTTTCATTTAGATACATACATTTTCAAACAAAGAAAGGTCTCTGTAGTTCACATGATGTGTGCATAAAAAAGATGACTTATTATGTTTATCTAAGATGTGATGAGGATGTAAATTAAAGCAAAACAGCTAAAGCTATTTAAGACGTTTTTTATTTGTTATGATTTTCAAATAATTTGATTTCTAACATACGCATTGAGCCGTCTGCCGTCTGTACTGTCAAGGGCCAAATGTTCAATAAAGTTAATATTATTTAAAAAAAATGCGTGACAGTTTGACAGGCTTTGAGAAAACTTTGGGAATATTTTAAGGTACTAAAAGTACAGATACGCTGGAAAACATCCTCACCACCACCAAGCCCTGAAACTTCTGTGGCGAAGAGGAAACACGGGTCTCCGCAACAACCGGACCAGAGCGTCTCTGATGTTGCACAGCCGCAACAGGGAAAACGCAACTCGGATGTTACTCTGAGCGCCACACAAACATTCACGGTTTGGGGACGTTTTTACTTTTGTTTGAAGGCCAACATGAAGACATCTGTGGTGAGTAAAGCTGTTTAACACCGTGGATGTTAGGTTAAACTTTTGGTTTATGTTAGCGTTAGTAGCGAATGTCTCTGGATAGTTTGTGTGCGAGGTTAACTTCGTTTGCTTTCTGCAACCTGATACGACTTATTTGCTGTGCAGCAGGTGAAGCAGGTGGAGTCATGGCCTCCTCAGTTTGATTCAAAAGTGCCAAACTTTGACATAAAGGCTTTGGTCAGAGGGACTAACAAGTTTTTGACAGTCTGGAGTCCCACATGCTGCCATCAGCAAGGCCCCAGAATCCATGTTCAGCTACCATCAAGTGAAACCCGCCTCTTTGTACTAGCCAATCCTTTTCATTTCATTGAGGGAACTCCAAGAAGGATAAATAAAGTTGTCTCTAATCTACTCTAATCTTTCACTTTTTCTTTGTGTCCAACATTTCCTAGTAGTGACGGGCATGGCAGTTCTTCTAGATGTACTGAATCACTATAATCAGTTTACTAAAAAGATTCGTTCAAAAGATTCGTTCACCAAATCACTGAATCATTTAGTGGGAGAAGCCTGCGACTCTGACCTCCTGAACTGATACACAGCTGAACTTTTCAGGATTCAGTTCAATTCATAGCCTCTGGGACCAGGAGATGAGAGTGTTTGGCTGTGTTACTTTGGCAAACAGGTTTGTAAAAATGAACTTGTATATAAGTCATGTGTTTTAAGTGTACTGTCCTGTGGTATGCTATTTATCAGGTCTGTTTGGTAAATTGGGGTCTTTGAGTGATTTGTTCACTGAACGTTTAGAAGAATTCACACTGAGCATGCTCCGGTCCCTCGCAAACCGCTGCAATGATAGGATGCTGCGGGTTAAATGCACTACTTGTCACATGCTGTGTCCTATTGTATGCAAGTTGCGGTGGCAATTTAGCAGTGGAAAAAAAATGTAGTTTTGTCCGACAAAAAGGATTCCAGAGAGTGTAGTTCAGTGTGTGATTCCTTCACCAAGTGATTCAGGTGTGCATGTGGGCCCTCATTTGCTGGCCTGGCAATGCAGTTTCTCACTTCAGTTCAACTTAAGTGAGAAGTGGACGAATCACTCGAGGAAGTGATTCGGTTCAATATGTTCACTTAAAAGATTCGGTTCTTTTGAATGAATCGTTCGCGAATCTGTCATTTGTCTACTCTTTGGTCAGGTAAAATCTCAGCACATCAGAAAGCCTGCATAGATGGGGTAAAAAATATTGAGCCTGAACAGGGTCATTGATTATTTCAGGCATCACTTTGCTGTTTGTGTGTGTCTGAGTGTATGTGCTTTTGGTCAGACAAGCTTGGCAGAGTTTCAGACAGGAATGAGCAATTGTAAGTTTCAAAATAACATCCAACTAACTTTTATAGACTAAAATGCCACTTTTAGGACCTGTTCCAAGGCTATAACACTATGATTAGACACCATGAAATTCAGAGGCCATATGCTAAGAAAAATGCAAATGCCTTTTTTGTACCATCATGGAGAGGCCGAATTAACATTAAAGAGGAGCGTTTTATAGACTAACATGATTATCGGGTAGCCGAGGTCTTATATCCTCTACTTTTACAAACTTGGAGTTATTGGTTTATTTTTTAAGCCACAAAGCCTGCATGTGTTTCAGAGAAAAACGTGCATTCACTCGTACTTTGCTAAAGTGCTGACAACAACAACAACATTTCCTGACTAAAATTTCCTTGCAGAGAAGACCCCATCATGGACTTTCTGTGCAATTTAACTGTAAGGTTAACTATTAGTTCTTCCTTTTTTAATTTTCTGCAGATGAAGATAGATCAGGAAAGTGTAATTGGTTTGTATAGCGGAGGCCATTTGTCTTTCTGATTGAAGTGTACTGATTTGCTAGTTGAACCAGCTTTCATATTTGCCAAAAATTGAATATTGTAAGAAATCAGGCCTTGTTATATCAGCGATGTGGCCGCTGTATCTCAGACTCGTTAGGTCAAAATGAGTTAAAAAGAGAGTTAAAAATGTGTTGTCTCTCTCAAATTGTATTAACAGAATGAAAAGACAGGCGTTAACTTGCATGACTTTAAATATGACAGACATTTCTGTGTTGCTCACTCTGCAAAATGATAATTTTGTTGTAAGATTGATGTGTTTTGTCTTGGTGTAGTTCATTATGGCAGTTTTGACTAAGTTCTTGGCGAAATCAGAGCTCAGCTTTAAATGTTGAGGCCTCTATGGTCAGCAATAACTTACTAAATTGAGTAAAGTGCAGTTTGTTTTCTGTCAGCAAGCCTCCAACTCTTACTCTCGTATCTTTCCCACTTCTTGAATTGACGGCCACGACTTTGGTACTTTGATGCAAACAATCTAACTAGGCCGTCCTCTCTGAGCCGCCACGTTTTTTTTTTCTTGCAGACAGCTTTTGCCTTATTGCATTCACATTGCACTTAAAAGAGGCTATTTGATAAAGAGAAGTGGGAGAGCCTCACAGCTCAGATGACAACTCTAAATACTTGAACATTGTTACGAAAACGTGTTTGGGTGTCCAAACGTGAGTGTGAGAGGATCTGTGTGGATGTGTCTGCATGTGAAAGTGAGCATGTACCTGTGTGGATGTATAGTGACTGGAAAAGTGATTTTTTATCTTTGTTTAGACAAAGTGGTGTCTCTTATTTCCCTCTGGTGAGTTTTTGTAGCTGTCACCTGTTCTTAGTTAGTCGTCCTGTTTTGAAAAGGATTGTTTTTGTTGTTATAATTATTATCGTCCTTATCTTTGTGAGGATTGTTTTACTTTTGTAGTGGTGCTGACCTGAGTTTCGTTATTAAAATACTTGAGTTATTGCACATTCTTGCCATTCTCTTTTTATTTCCACCCTTACCTGGTTTTTCAATTGCTTTTTTTTGTTAGTCCTGAGTACCCCTAGCCTATCAGGATGTAACAAACATAAAACCGCAGCTTTGCTTTTTTTTTCTGTAGGAGAAGCTGCTGCCTTGAGATGCAAAAGAGGCCGTTGGAGCTATCATTGACTCCCTTCCCCTTTTTGAAGGTCATAAACAAATCTCCTGTCAAGATCCTTTGCACGGGCAGCTCCAGCAAAGCCTTTTAATATTCACCATCTCCCAAGACGATCTGCTACGTCTGAAAACATGAATGATACTCCCACACCACCATTCCACTAGCTAAATCCTCAGCAAAAACCATTACATTTTTCAGGGGCTTGTTCGTGTCTGTTGCCTTCTGTTTTTTCCTCCCCTGTGGTCACTGACATATCGCCCCAGAGAGGGCAGCTTTGTGGAGAGCTGTGATTTGTAGGTAACGACAAGGCCATTTCAAGCCTTGAAAGAGTATGGGGACTTGAAGCATAGGCTTATTATGCTTTAAAAGAATTTGTGGTCATAGAAATTGAATCGGTAGCACTGGCCCCTGAAACTGAACTCTTTTTCTTCTATTGGTTTATCCCCAAGCAACAAAATAAACAGTTCACTTAACATCCTGGTGGGAGGTTGTCAACTTTTGTCTGAAACAGACGATAACTTTTGCTCCACATTTAACTTGAGCAAAAGAAAGAATACAAGTTGTAAAACAGCAAACAGTATGCATATTGACTAATTGTTGCAGCCCTATTATTTTTCGGAACCTTCATCGCATTTTTGAAAACATTGATGAAACAAACTAAAATTAATTAAAAGTAAAGACTCTTCACTGGAGAATAATAAACTATTTGCTTTCTGTAAAGCAAGAGGCAGTCATGATAACGTGTCCATTCAACACAAATATAAGAAATAAAGTGTTGAAACAGCTGCCCTAGTATGGTGCCAGTACAAGACCAGCGCTTAATACTAGAAAAATGAATAAATAAATAAGTGGCTGAAGTGTGTTCATCTCTGTGCTCACCCAAAGTCATGCAACACTCACAGAAAACTCCGATAGTGTGAACCAAAACACTCAATATGAAGTTTTTCACACTGCATGATGTTTCTCCTCAAAAGCTGCTCTCTGTCTCCGTTGTTGATTACTTTCCTCTTAAAGGGAGGAGAAAGATCCGAGCATAAATCCGAGCGCTTTATTCGCCGATCAGAGGCAGACGGGTAAGGTGATTTGATTCGCCACGACTCCAGAAATGATTAAAAAACTACAAAATTTCACAAAATGACGTATCCAAGCTCCTGGCTTGAAGAGTAGAAATGCGCAGCCGTGCTCCCTGCTGACAGGAAGTCAAGCCACTGTTGTAGTTCTTTTGTGTTGCTAGCGCGGTCAAGAGTGTTGGCTCTCACTGAGAGATGACTACAAAAATGGACGCATCTGTTTGCACTTGCGCAGTACGGTACTCCTACAGTACTCCTCTGATTGGCTATGAGTCGAAATGCTCTCACCTCTGATTGGTTGTAAAACCCGTTAATCTCTGGTCAGCACCCGCCATTTGCTCCAAACAATTCAGCGACTCGAGTTGGAGATGGAGGGAGCGCAATCTGTGACTCGTAGGGAAGATTCCAGCGGTTGTAAGTATCGATCTGTATGTGTGTTTAAAAACAACACAACTATTTTCGCGAATTAAAAAAAAAAATCTACAATTACACAACTCATAGAGTACGGATTTCACATTTACCAATTCACGTACACAATCAGTGTTCACGACTACAAATTACATGTTACTGATGCAAAAACCTTTTGCACCAAAAATACAAACCTTTCTCCCAAGAATTGCTCCATTACGGACACATAAGACAGGAGCAAAGTTCCACATGTCTCTACAGCCTGCTGTGTCTTACAAAACATTTACAGCACGACATGCACACTGGACATGATTCTGTTTCAGACGCTGTATAGTACAGTTCACCTGAAGGGGCAAATCAATAACTACCCCAATCCTAACCTCAATGTTGTAGTGGGTAGAATATTTTTGCAGATTTTGCACAGCTCCTCCAGACAAAGTTCAGACCCATGATGTAAACCTGAACAGTACTATCTCAAGGCTTTTAAGGGCACAAAACTCAAATGCAGCTATTTAGTAAAAATAATTGTAAATAATCGAGTAGTCTGAATAAGTAATCGGGTTCTGATTTGATGTAGATAAATGTCATTGAGTCAATGTCAGTCTCTGAATGATATTTTCAAGTGAAGGGAGAACGCTGAGTATGACGTCGTTGGTATCGCTGCATGGCTCCCATAGACTGTATATACTATGGACAACTTGGTTCCGCCTCCCGCCTTTATATGGATTTGAAGCCAAAAAGCTCTCGGTATTTCCGGGATTTTTCTTCATTTCCTGAAACCAGCGCTGCGCAGTGGCATTGTGCACATTCGGCGCGAGAGTCGCCGACAGTGGCTGTGATGATGCTTGGCTCGAACAGCGTATCCCCCAGGTGAGCTACTTAATCCCTGAATGCCCATAGGTTGTATCAGGTGTCAATCAATGAAAACATGAACTCCCTAAAAACTTTTAAAATGGAGCTTCACAGAAAAAAGAGGATTTGAGCACAAACCAGTCTTACTGTGACTACATGTCAATGTTGCAAGCAGGGGGGAGAAAAAATTATATTCTGTGTAATAAATTTTTTAAAGTTTGTCAACAGCCCCATAAGCTTTGCTGGTGGAGGCGGGATTTATGACCTATACTGCAGCCCGTCAACAGAGGGTGCTCTTCTCTGAGTGGCTTCACCCAGCAAGGAGGCAGACTCTGTCCATTCTATACAATCTATGGTAGCTCCCCGCTCTTAAGCAAGAAGGGTTTTTTCATTGAGATCATTTGTAAGGCAGTCCATGGTATGTGTGTGCTTTCTGATAACCTTGCTGCCCATACACTAGCAGGCTCCACTAAGTGTTTGGAAGCAGAATATTTTTGCAGATTTTGCACAGCTCCTCCAGACAAAGTTCAGACCCATGATGTTGAGAGTGAAGAATTTAGTCAAAGAACTAAAGACGACGATGTGCATGCTGTAATGCATGGGGACATTTTAAGTCAGTGAGATGTTCTAGGAGATGCATTACCCCCCAGCTCTTCCGCCACTCTTGGCTCACCCCACTAACCCTGGGGGACAGATGGCGGCTCCATGCCAGAAACGTGACCTCCATATCTTATTTCTTTCCTCCCCCACAGCATCATCATTATACCTGAGCAGATGTCTGAGCCCCCCTGTGCTGTCACTCTCTCCATTTTTATTTTTCTCTCTCAGTGTTTATCTCTATCTTTATCTTCCTCTCTCTATCTCTTTATTTCTGACTCTATCTTCCTTTTGTTTCCTCTGTCTATACTGGTTTTTCTGCTGTAACCAAGTTCACTAAGTTGAAATTCTTTTAAAGAATGGCTGACTAGTCAATTACTGAGCATCAGAATAAAATATATGAGCATTAACTCTAAACGAATTAAGAAATGTACTAATTGTAAATGTGTATGTTGTTTAAATGTTTAAATTTACTTGTAGCGGATAGAAACATAGTATCCATTTGTTGACAGCATATCACCATGATGAGCTCAGACTATTTTGATTCCATGACAACTGGATGTAATCTTAACGTAAGAATCCATTCAAACAAATCAGACAAGTGATAGTTTGGATGTGATCCTTGATTAGACTTTAAATGAGTCTAGAATCACATTGCAACCTGATTAAATGTAATCTCACTTACACCGCAATATATAAGCCTACATGATGTCCTAAATAAATGGTTTAAGCTTGACGTAAGACGATTAAATCCTGTCCTCTTTCCACTTAAACACTACAGGCTGGAGAGCTCGGGTTGAAAAGGCTGAAAATTTTAAATAGAAATAAGCTTGTGGTCAGTTATTCTCATGGCAAACTGTTGTTGACCAAGACGGAATCCTTGAAAAAATTTATGTAGATGAATCCGCCTGTTTCTCGTTTCACTCGCAGTTAGAATCACTCTTCCCAGTCGCTTCAAGCCCATTTACCTGACACAGGAACTCATAATGTGCCCAGTGTGGTACATAAATTTGCCATGAATCAGGCTGGGAAGTTTTGTGTCTGTGTTGTGTGTGAGGCATGCTTATACGAGTAAAAGCGCTACAGTTACACTTCTTTAACCTGTCTACTTTCCCGCTTCACAGAAGGGGTTCCTAAAACAGCGGTGCTTGTAGACACACAACCCCAGCACGTGTTAAAACTATTTCCCTGCATCCATCTCTCTGTCCCTCTGCTCCTGCACGCTCATCTTATCAGCTGCAGAAGCCTGTAGTGCATCCCCGTCAGCAGCAGGGTTATTTGAGGAAGAATTGAGTCATGGTAAAACAGGTTAAATTGGCAAAAGGCTCAGGAGGCCTGCTGGCGTTTCCATTACTATCAATCAACCACAGAGCCTGAAGGCCTAGACTGGATGTAGAGTTGGCCAACTTGGAAATCTTACAGTTTCCTCTTTAACTTTTTACTTTTAAACAGTGGAAAAGACTGACCCAGATAAAAAAATATATATATATTTACAATCAAGTTTTTTTCCTGGTGAGATGTTGTAATTTAAAAGAACCACAAGCAATTTGAATAAGGCTGTTTGATGAGGTCTTTATTTGTTTGGCAAGAGACCCAAATTTGCTAATTTTGTACGCTAAATTTGTTATTTGGCTGCGCTTTCAATAAGTAGATTCTGTGCACCATGCGCCTCTATCCAGCCGTTGTCAACTGTAGCTGGTTATAAATGATGACATGCTATTTGAGGTGCATTACTGCTGAAATGTATGTGACCTTTTCTGTGGTAGAGGAAAGTACCATCTGCAAACTTGGCTCAAATAGCGAGGAGTACTTTAATAGCATTCTTTCATGACCTTATAGGAAGTGCTCAGCTGATTGTGTCTATGATGTTTGCTTTCCATTGAGCCTGGTTGACAATTACACCGGCCTCTGTATTTGTTATCCTCTCCTTCAAGCCCTTGTAGCTTGCATTCTAATGAGATGGCTTTTAATGGAGAATGTTTATTGCTCCTTGCAGGGCCTCTACTTTGCACTCTTGAGTTAATTAGCCCTATGTCATGTGATAACCAACACAGAGGACATCTAGACCTATGCCTGTTCGATGAGCAGTGTCCTTCTCGTATCAAAAGCAATGATGCAGGGCTGCGGGTAAAGTATACTGGCTCGGGCTTGTTCTCACTTAGTCGCCCTCAGATTGAAAGCGTGGATGAATATGAGCAAGTAATTTCATGTTAAACATAAAGACACACGCTCAAACATGGGTTAACATGGGTTACCTTTTACGTTACATGCCACGTTTCCTGTAAATGATGGGGAATTACCATAAAATCAATTTGCCTAACGTAGTGTCAGCCATCATGTTGTGCTACCAAGCTGTTGCAGGTCTAGCACACAGTTTGATGATAAAGGGATGATTTCATGAAAAGCGAGTCTACTATGCAGTGTTGGCTTTCAGTTACAGCCAAGTTCAGCTGTTTCCATTATTGTGTCCACATCTTAGTGTAAGTAGATCTGTTACAGTTGACACATACAATCCAAATGTCCATTCTTAGGATTTAAATGTCATCTGAGCTCCACTCTGATGAGAGAGTATTAAGCTGACAGGGTCATTAGTCATTTATTCTCCGTCATTATCACCCCTTACGTTGACTTGACCTTGTTCAAAGGGGAGAAAAAAGAAGTTTTACTCTTCTATCCTGCCTGCGTTATGCAGAAGTTATTCACTTAACTCCAGGGTCTCACCTGGCAGCTCCCATACTGCCTACATCAACATAATGGGGACCAGTAGCAGGAAAATCAATTTATCTGACAAACAGTGTTATTCCATTCCAATAACGGCCAACCAGTGGCCTTTGTTTTGCTGCCCCCCACTTTGAAAATCTTTTAAAATCACCATCAGTGCAATAACACTGCCTGGTGCCTGACCTTTTGAAATTCGCTGACCAGCGCACAGACCAAATTGGCCTGTATGTCTGTTATCCCTTAAGGACTATGAAAAACTACACTGTGCATTGGTGATACACCGGCAACTGCTAGCATGTTAGAAATGTAAGAAAACAAGCATTGTGCAATGCTAAATATGTTTGTGCCAGAATACGTATTTCCTCTAAAGAGAAAAGACTGGAGTCAAGGTGCAGCACTACCACCTCCTTGCCTCGCACTTTGAATTCAGTTTGAAACGCACAGCAGTCAGCTTCACAGATGGTGCTCCAGGGCTGTGGTGTTCTTCACCCATGCCAAGAAAGTAAACCTGCAAACCCTTTGAGATATGAAGTAGTGTGCACGTTTCCTTCAGAACTCCACTGAGGATTACTCTGCTATTTAGCTCATGCCTCGCATCCAGCTGAGTCAAAGTGCTCCCAGTCGAAGGTATGCTTGAGGCAACGGCTCTGCTGCAGCAAGCTGGAGAAGGCAGGGAAAGAGAAGGCCTGGAAGGGTGAAGTTCTCTGATTCTGTCAGGAATGATCCACATCACGGCCTTGCAGCCTTGTGCTTCATCCACCTCTGTGCATTACTCTTGCTGTCCTACAACACAAATTCCACTAACGAATCTTTGACCAACATGCAGTTCTGAGACGGCAGAAGACAGGCAACCTGTAGGTGACTCACCCTCTCTTTTTTTCTCCGTCTCTTTTTTTCTTTCTGTCTCTTTTCTCTCTCACCATCCTACTCCCTTAAGACAGAGAAGAACAAAGGGAGAGACAGAAGAAAAGCAATATAACCTCTTGGCCCTTATCTGCAGAGCACACCAGAGCATGTCTGGCCTCAGACGTGGCTTTGCCTGTCCTTTGAAGGCCCTCATCTCCCTTTGATATCAGCCAAACAGTTCAGCACAGTGACAGATGTTCAACTTTCCATCTGTCACTTTGACACCCGTCTCTTTCGTGTTGTTGGATCTTACTGACTTTGTTTGGACTGTCTGTCGCGCTGCCTGAACGAGGTTACGACATGGATGCTGATGCGAGTACTAATGGAAGAGATAGCGACTGAGACCTTTAGTTAACACACGATGAAAGTAAACTCCCCGCCACCGTTTTTTAAGGTCGTCTGTCTCGTCTGTATTTTTTACATTAACATTTTCGCTATTAAGATGATGCTTGGATACTAAGTGGTTTAATGAGGGGTATAAGGGTCATCGTCACATTACCTTGACAACATTCCTCAGAGAGGGGGACGCAAAAAGACATAAAAACTCAAGCCAAGGAGAGTTGTAGAAGGTGGGGATTTTATAGGAGGATATTAGAGTGAGTAGATGGGAGATGTATTGAGAGAATATGACTCAGGAGGGAGACGATGACATAGCACATCTCTTTAACTTTATGATTGAAATTGAAGGGGCTTTGCTGCCAATACTGAACTTAGAGGTCATTTTTTATTACCGCTCTAACAGTAAATCACCGTTTTTAGTCATCACTTGGATGCGCTATTTTCTGGAGAACTTTTGCATTAACTCTAAACTTTCTTATTGTTGTTTGGTGATGAGACAAAGGGCGTGGCTTTTACTGAAGCAGCCATCCAGTCGAAGTAAAGGTCTAGAATCAAGGACAAGGAACTAGTAGACTGAACCCCTGTTTTCCTGCTTGAGTATTAGAGAATTAGAAGAAGTGCTCGGACCGTGTCTTTTCCTGCTCTCTGTTTGGTTGTTCGTTTTTGTGACAGGGTGCATGTGTGTGTCTCTGCGTGAGTGCCCCCTATTGCTTGGCTAAAGGCGTCGCCTCTCCGTCTGAGAGGATCGCCAAAGCCAGCACAGTGTGAGAGATGAGGCGTCTGTTTTCAAGACAACAGGGGGAGAAAAGGTGTTTTCTTTTTTTAACCTTTGTCTTTGGTGCTAATCTAAAAGATGAGCTATCATTCAGAGTATTATCCTCACAGGAAGCGTCAACAACAACAGATCTCTTATTGTTTTCTTGTAAAAAAACATTCAACTCTAACTCTGTAGAATAGACAAAGTTTGGTTTATGAATCATTTTATGTTAAAATCAGGAAATAAATAAATAGATAAGGAGTATACAGTGGACTTACAAGTGGATCTACTAGCAGGGATGTAGCCATCAGTGTGCTGCCTCTGTTTAATTCATGTAAAGGTTAAATTCTGGACTAGGCTGGGCTTTGGTCTCTGCATGGAGTCTCTGTAAGCAAACCTCCAGCATCATTTTTAACAGACGGCCTTACGGGCAGCAAGACTGATTTCCAGGAAGAGAAAGTCACACTGGGTGTGTGATAAGACCAAGAGCCTGGGGTTCGTTTTGCAATACATACTAATCACCTGGATAATGTTCTTCACTGTTAAACAATATTCCTGTATCAGAGGGAGGACCGGTATCTCTTGCCACGTGCAGCCTGCTTATCTCTCTGTACCTCCCTTCACTCCTTGGGGATCAGTCAGTGCCAGGATACCGTTGACAATCGTGTGTGTGTGTGTGTGTGTGTGTGAAGCTGCAGACTGACCTCCTCTTTCCTCTCTCATCTCTGCGGATGTCTGACTGTGGCTCCGCGGTGAAATCGATGGCCTCCTGCTGCTCTGGGTGTGTCTTTCTCCTGTTCTCCCCCCCCTGCGGACCAATTGCTGCCACATCAAAACCTTCCTGAGCTTCCAGTGACGCTCCCTTACTGAATTATTAGGTCACACCACTACATTCACTGACTCGCCTGTCCGTCCGTCTGTCTATCTTCTCATCTTCTCCCCAGCTTCCAGCCTGCTTCCCCACCTCAGCCTACCTCCTCTGCGGCTTTTCCTTCTGTGACTGCCTTCTTATCTGTTCAGCTGCCTGTCCCTCTACTACCAGCAAAACAAACTTACACTTTCGGGATGAGTCATGCAGCTATTCTGAGCTGTGGCCAGCACTCTGTGACAACTCTAAAACAAAGATGTGTTGATGATGTTGCTTGTTTCAGGAACATTAACGCTCTACGAGTTGGCTCTCAGAGCGCCATAAATTAAACGCAGTTATGAGGGTGTTTATTGACACAAAGCTACTTATTGATGAATAAAATTAGGAGAACAGTTAAATTCTTCATCCTCAGCAGAAGTGGCAACTGCAGCAGGTCAGGGATGTAGTTCTCCTTCTGTGTCTCATTAATTTCATGGCCCATCGCAGTGTTTTAATACCTTCAGGTGTCGTCACTGATTGAGGCCGTAAAGACAAAGCATTGGATCAGTGCGTTTGCTGCTCTCTTTACAGCTGGGACTGGAAAGTGTGCTTTGTCCTTGTGCTCACAAATGTGGTCTCTGACACATCACAAACACACAAATCAACATACGAGAACTAGCATGTACAAATGAAGAAACCTTGCTCTGTATTAGTAACTGAAAATAATCGTTGAATTTGAAAATGTTGTCTGCGTAACTTTTCCTGGAGTTTTGTTTGAGGTTTAGCGTAGGGTGACCATACGTCCTCTTTTACCCGGACATTATCTCTTTTTTGGGGCTGTCCGACCTTGCCTGGCTTTGTCGGAGGAGTTTATAAAATCCTTCAAATGTCTGCGGTTTTGTATGGAAGTTTAAGCATGTGAAAGATACTCGATCCGACCCGAAAAACCTTTAAAAAGTTAACTTCGTGCTAGTCGTGTCCTCTTTTTGGGAAGTCAGAATATTGTCACCCTAGGTTAGCATTATGACGCACTTAATGCTGTGTTCGAGTTACCTTGGGGTTCAGATGTCGGAGCTGAAAATGACGTCACAACCCAGTTCCCAGTGGAAAAAAGCAAAATGGGAGACGGAAACAAGATGGCTACATCTACGAAAGTTGTTTTAGCGCTTGCCTTGTCCGAATATAAGCAAGGACTTCAGCGGTAACTCGAATGCAGCATTAGCTCGTTAGCATGTGTTGTGTTGGACCCAAAACTTCCCTCTGTTTCTTGGTGCCTTCATCCACAGGAAAAGGAGATAGCTGTGATTTTCTTCAAGACAGAAAAAAGAAACAAGGAGGGAGCTTTGCAGGACAGGAAACTGGCGATACAATGAGTGTAGACAATCAAGACATCCATAATCATACAATAATCTTTTATAGAAAGGGGTATCTAAATATTCTGAGTGGTAACCCTTGGATCCTGCTCGGTACCACATCACCACACTCTTGCCACTTCAAAGTCTGTTTATCTGTACTTGCAAGGTTAAATCAGAGATACGCAGTAAAAGTATATCTTGGTTTTATTTTATACTCAAGGATACAATGTGCATGTTTCATTGAAGTTGAGCATCACGGGCCCGGTGCGAATCGCTTTCCATTTTCTTCCCAAGTAGTAAAGGCTACGATACTCTGAGTTTGCCATACAGTCTGATTCACTCGGAGCCTTCATCTCGACTGTGGTTCGGTGATATGAATCAGCCAATAGGACTCTGTAGGTACAAGGCTGCCCTGCTGCCGGGCTGATAAGTGGGCCACACAGAGAAGATGGAAAATACTCTCTCTCTTTGCCTTGCTCTGTTTTGCTCGCTCCCCTTCTCTCGTTCACACAGAGCCCTGCTTGCTCACACTCCTCCCCTTACATTCCTACCTCAAATTTTTTCTCTCACATTTCCCGTTAACATCGCTCTGAGTCTGTGCTGTTCTTTAAAGTGATAGGGTTAAACTAGAGGAGACAGAAAACAGCAGGGTGCTCTCCAACGCTTGAAGCCTCTTTTTGAAGTTCTTCTTTAAACTTATCCCTCTTGCGCGCAGTTCAATAGTTGGTGGCTGTCACCTGTTTCATCTGTGTGTCTTTGTAGTGACACAGGGTGTGTAGTGTTGTCTTTGCCTAGTGGTGTCATCATTTTTCATTACAAACATCCCTGCCCTTGTGCGGGTGTGCAGTGTGGTTGATGCAAAAGCCTCTGACACAGTGACAATTGTAAAGCACACCTCTATGGACCTGTGAGATCTGAATAAAAGACTCTGCTACCTTTCATCAGTCTGGGCTTTTTTTCACGCCCTGCCAGAGCTCTTTACTCATTTGTTCTCACCCGACCTTGTCTCTCACAACAGGACTAATTTCTGCACATAATGAAACTCACTCGCAGACTGATTGCGCTTCTTGCAGTTTGGTCATGAGAAATTAATGGAGTGCTGTGCAGATATTGCAGATTTATATTTCTGAAAGGAATCCGGCTCCTACCGGTCTGTGTTGTGCCCTGCAGAGAGAATGAGTAAGCAGAAATGATTGTTTGACCATATAGTAGAGATTTCCTCACAGCTTGAATAGTACCATTATTTTGTCTGTCTTGTTTATTTAAATTCCGTTTAAAAATAAAGCATACATCTGTGGTTCAGATTAGGTCCCTGGTGGCTAGCTTGCAGGCAGCAGGCTGAGCCATGGTTGAAAATGCCCTGTAAATACAGAGAGCTAATTTTGTTGCCTGTGGCAGCGATGTGCAGACTGACCTTATCAGGAGGGCCTCGGCCCGTCTATTTCATCCTCTGTGACTCACCAACCCTGCTCACTCCCTCAGGAATGGCGGCCCTCTGTACAGAGCTAGATTTCAATAACCTCTCAACCGAGAACAGCAATGAAATGCAGAAATAGTAAGAGAGCAAGCAAGGGGGACCTGCCCCCCTTTGCTGCCTCAGTTAACAGGTGATGCAGTGCACCTTTGTGCAGCGGCACCCATGTTTCCTGTTACAAATACAATGCAATAAAAAGCATTTTTTTTGCCTTGACAGGTAAGATACAGGAGGTTAATAGAAAAGAAATGCAAAAAGGAGATTACATGGGTCGAATATGAGAAATACATGAGAAATGATAGGAATGCAGGGTTGAGGATAAATTGACAGTCCTTTAGCAGACATCTATCAGATGTATTCAGAGGTGTTTTGGGGTGCTAGTATAGAGGCAGAGGGATGAGAGAGAGCACTGGAGCTGGAGGGCCAGGAACAGTGATTGATCACCTACATGACACAGCAGCCCTGCCGTGCTGAACTCAACCTCTGAATTGATGAGCCACACCTCTTGTCTTCCCTTCTCCCACTTCCTGTCTTATCCTTTATTCCTCCATAACCCTCCTCCATTATCCATCTCCAGCTCTTGATTTCCTCATTCTATCTCTCTTTTTTTTGAGGGTTTTTTTTTTCATTGTCTTCATTTATCCCTCCTCGCCTATCTCAGCCCCCACTTTCATTCCACCTCAGTCTAGGTATTTTCTTTCCTTTTTTTCCTCATTTTTTCCTCTGACTACTACCCACTCTGTGTGTCAATATCAGGCATGAGAGCCATGGAAGTGCCATACTAATGAGGTTAGAGGGAGCATCTCTGTTTCTTGAGGTGACACCTTTATAAATGACGGGAGCATGAGGCCCTGCAGGTGCTCAATCACCTCTGCAGGGGCCAGCCTGTGGGGAGCACAGCATGTGTGGTGTGACCGAGTATTTGTGTGTGTGTGTGTGTGTGCGTGTGCATGCAGGAGTGCGTGTTTTGTTGTGTTATTGCCTCTGTGAATCTTGCAGCAGCTAGGTTTACGCTGGAGCTAGTTGCAGTGGACAACAGCATTAGGGAGGAAACAGATCTGGAGGTAGAGTGAAGGCGAAAGAGAGAAATGACAGCCTGGAGCTCATCTGACCAGTACTGCCTTGTTATGACTCCCTGATGTGTGCACCAGGGGCACACAAAACAGACACTTCCTCCCTTTATTGCCTAACACCACCTCTTTCTCTTTCCTGTAGTCTGTCGCCTCACAGGCTCGCTTTATGGCCTCCACTGAGGCAGGATGTTATCTGCTTGTATAGGTCTATGTTATAGCTTACTTTTTTCTGCGTCTGTGATTGTATGTATGCCAGTGTTTTAGAATAAAGATCAAATCTATGTTATATAGCTGTACGCTATGCAGCATCACATCTTAGGGTATCACAACGGCAGAGAAATGCAATCAGTGTAGGGGAAGACAGAAAAACCATAACAAGAATGAGTTTAAATGGGTTGAGGAGATGTGGAAAGCTAAAAAGGTCGTGATGGTATAACAGAGCCAGCAGTAGTCCAAATTGAGTTATCACAAATGTGTGCTCATCCATACAAGATACAACTTTGGGACATTATTGTTCACAACATGGGTGCCTATTGTCTGAAATGCCTGAAACACACAGTTTTTATCTTCATGAGACTTCTCCAAAGAATATAAAACAAAGGAAATGAGATGTCGTTTATGTGCCGTTCCATCTTTTACCGTGCACTTTACTGATTTTTTCTTACACAGCTTGCTTTAAAGCTTTTAGACCTAAATGTCATAAGTGGCAGAACAGGAGCAGGCAGATCATTGGTACGGCATCAGGAAACCGGCAGGTGATAATCTCCCCACAACGCTATTCCTATTACCGCTCCTCCTAAGCTGCTAGGAAACAACAGCCTACAGAGCAAAGGGCTTCTGCTTGTGTTGTGTGTGCAGATCTACAAAGAAATGTGCCACAGTGCATGTACCTTTCTGGCTGTTGATGTGTGGTGCCTGCCTGTGATGATAATTAAAGCAAAAACAAGAAAATAGCCGCGAAGCTTGCTACACCTCAGCCATGGACGCAGGCCATGGAAGTGATTGCAGCGTCATCATTCCTGCCCATAAAAGCTGCTCAGCCAGTCAATGCGGTGTGGGTTCATTCTCTCCTTGCAACCCAGTCTGAGCTATTTTTAGTCCCCCCCCCCCCTCTGTTGCAGCAGAGCTCAACCACTGTCCGCTGTAGCTACCTGAATATGAGGGCTTTGTCACTCCTGCAGGCTGGAGCAGCACTGATCTCGCAAACTCTGCAGCTTTCTATTTCCACAGCCGGGACCGCAGATCAACTCCTGCAGTGAAAGGAATGAGCAGAGATGGACAGAGAAGAAGAAAGACAAGCACATTATTGTGATATATTGTCGCACAGCTAGAATGGAACAACAAAAGGCATTGCTTCCATTCTTGATTTGACAAGAAAAAGTATTCTAATGAGGCAAGGAGACACTTAACTTTTCATGACAATGCCGAGGGAAAACAATTCAAGAACTTATTGACTTATTGATTAAAATCCAATCAAGGAAAACTAGAAGGAATCACTCGTCTTTGGGAGAGTATTTTTTCTGCAAGGTTGACAAAGTGATAAATAAACATATTTTCTGCTTATGCAGGTGATCAGACACATAACTGCAACTAAAATTATACTCAAGGAAAAAAGGGAAGAAAAGTCAATAGCAGGAATACACACATAATATTTTGTTATGGAATTTTTCATGGGTACAACAATAGGCAATACTGAAAATGGGCTCTTCTTGTGATTTACATGCATTATTAGTCACAGACATTTTGTTGGGGTTGTCCTCCTGCAGGTATACAAACCTCTGCCTATTAATTCAGTGTAGTATTATTCAGTATTCCCCTTGCATTGTATACAAGTGCTCCAAACAGATCCGTTTGAAACGGTTCCACGGTGCATTTGAGCCGTTTGGAAGCTGTGGTTGTATTGTATGTATCGTCCCCATACTCTCATCCTGTTCTCTTGAGCCCTGCTATACTGGCACCAGCTACTCCATGTCACACAAGCAACATTAACTTCATTCTGTGTTACATCATTCCTTGGTGGGTTGCGGAGCAACATCTGTGGTTCAAATTTTTTCATCTCTATTTTGTTTTTAAAATTATGCAACAAACAGGCAACTCCAGAGAATGATGCAACATCAGATGCTACCGTTAAGGAGCATCACAGTAATGGGCTAGAACCCTTTTAAATCTCACCAATCTTAGGCAGTCCTGCCGGAGATAACACATCTCGGTCCCTCTCAGCTTTGCCTGTGGGCTGCTGTGGGAAAATTCTGTTTCTCAATGGGTGGTAATCTGAGGATTAATGACAGCAACACATCTGCCAGTCATGTGGCTGCGCGACACAGATGGCAGGGGATTCACACAAGAGACAGGATTGGTTATAACATTCTGTCATTCGTCCTCTACATTATGTTGTTGCAAAACTCTAATGTCTTGAATCAAATCAATCCAAATCCTAAGGTGTCTTTTGCGTGTGTGCTAATTCTTTCAGGGCATTTGCCTGCAATTGTTTTTCTCACAGCAATTCATTACAAAAAAACAAAAAAAATTCAACACATCGTATCCGTGCCAGCTTTAAACATATGAACAACAACATTTTAGTGAAAATAATTGCTAACACATTTGTCTTTAAAGCCTTACTCTCTCTCTCTTTTCCACTTTCATGTGCTGCATTTACTTACAACATTTGTGTTTCTCCCACTACCGATGGCCAGCATTACAAAAGCAGCAGACACTGTGGCTGATGTGATAGGAGTCCCGTTGACTTTCAGTGGCACAGTAATAGCACATATCCAATACAGAGGCAGAGAAAAGATGATCCTAACAATGCCTCCAGCAGTGCCTCTGGCTACAGGGCCAACACACACACACACACACACACACACACACACACACACACACACACACACACACACACACACACACACACACACACACACACTATCTGTGTTTTCCCTTCCTTAGAGAAGCAGAGGAGCCGGCACATGTGTCTCCCTGAATTACTGAGGATAGACTGTGGGAGTGATTCTATTCTTGTAGGAGAAAACACAGTCAATTCTGATCTCATAAGACAACACTCTTACTTGCTGCGTACGTCTCATTCACTTTATTCCCCTGTTTTTTCTGCTTACCCTTCATTCTCTATCTCTCCCTTTGTGTTTGACCAGGTGGAGGGGCCGCCAGCAGCAGGAGCTTTTCGGGAGCGCCCTTCCAAACCGACCACCTTCCGTAAATTTTATGAGCGTGGAGAGTTCCTGATCATGGTCGATCACAACACCAGGGGAAACCGCATTACATGGAAGGTAGGTACAGTAAAAATTGGCTTATGCGTATGGTTTTACATGCTATTAATAACATGACAAGGTGCGCCAAATCTGCCATCAGAGAATGCTAGGTTCAGGAGTTGGGATTTGAGAAGGTACTGCCCCTTCCATTGTATAACCCTTATGACAACACACTTAACAAAAGTATGCAAAGAAAACAATGCCACACTTCAGAATTTGCAGTTACACACAACTGAAAAATAGAGTATGCTAACTGCTATGCAAACACCATTTATTGTCATCATTATCGACTAACCTTAAGGTGATGACAGTCTCTCACATATTCAGAGGTCCAATGTGGGCTGTTATCCTGTAGGAGGCAGTGTAGATTAGCTCACTTGAGGGCTCCACCTGCCTCACAACACCAATCACACAATCCATCAATCACAAACTCCATACCGCTCAGGCCAGTGGCAGCAGCAAAACACAGAGGGTAATTGCATATGTGTTTGTGTATGAACTATACATGTGTGCGTTCCTACCCACGTCTCCATAGAGCCATTAGGCTTCTGACTGGCACAGTGTGTGTGTGGGATGAATGAATTCTTCTAATCACCATGTTGCTTTATTTCAGCTCTCACTATGCTGCTAGCTATTCTCTAACTTCACAACCACAGAGTAGCAACCGCTCTTAATGACATTTATTCATAGTAAGCAATGATAAATGAATCAAACAAATTATAGCCTTTTCCTCCCTGCTTTCCGACTTCAAAGAGAAAAAGGAAGGGGGAATTGGTTGGTGAGTGAGCTTTCTCACTAGTTAGCTGTCTATCTTCAGGTGAAAACACTGTAAAAGCTCTCCGTGTATGAATTATTTATGTAAAACGTTCAAATGAATCTTTTCGTTTGCAAAAAAATAATGGATTTCTTTTGTGCTCTGCCCCTGAAAAAGCATGGAGGAAATGGGATGCCGAATATGAAATTGTTGCTGTCATATCTAATGCAACTGTTATGCTTATTGATCCCCCCTCCCATACTTGTACACATGCTAGCCTTCTTAAAAAAACCCTTTCTGAAAGCAAGAAGAGTTCATTATACAAGCCCATACCGTCTTATAGCTTGCACTTTACCTTGGCAACTGTTTGCAGTATGATTACAATGACAGCCCCACCAATATCAGTCTATTGGAGGGGATATACAGTATTTTTTTCCATGTGTTTTGTTCCCTTTAAAGCAAATCTTTATGGACCCTGTGTTAGTTACAGCAGCCCAGGTAAAGAAACAGTTCATCTTATGTGTGCATTTGTATTTTGAGTCTATACAGTATGAGTGTGTAGTTTAACAGAGAGTGTAACCATGATCGGAATAAGTGGAGAGGGGCTGCTGCGTGTTTGCACTGAGCTGCCCTCGGGGCACAGGTTCAAGACGGCAGCTCAGGATCAATCCCAGTCTGAGAGCTCAGCCCCCTAGCAAATATAAAGTCTGAGGCAAGTAAGAAAGAGAGTCTTTCCGAAAGAGAAATAAATGGTGTGTTGATTTAGTTTGTGGATTGAGTACTCAAGCATACCAAGATAGCGTGTTGGTATGTGTTTGTGTGTTTAATCTATTTGTGTTCAGTTTGACTGTCCACATGGATGACTGTGTGTATTCAGGTCAGGAGTTCAGCTTCCCTCCTGCAGTGATGCAGCCTGTACATGTTTGCCCCTGCACAGCAGCAAACAACCAATGTGACCGTGTGGTAGACAAGCTGGTCTGACTGAAAGTCTGAGCTGTACTTTGTTACATCTTCACTACAATTACACTACAAAACACAAGGCTGTCCAGTTACTCTGAGATGTTTAGTGAGAAAGCATCGATGGCTTAAAGACATACTAATAACAAGCTTTGAAATGCTATATTAGCTTATCAAAAACCTGTGAAAACAGCAGAGACCTTAATACAAAACACTTTAATACATTGAGCAGGAACAAATCAAAAAGGGGTTTTAAGTTTTTGAATCCCCTTAATCCCCTCCTGTGAAAGATAGGGCCAGCATTCACTAGTGCTTGACTTTTAGCTGAGACCACAAACCACTGAAATATATTTCTTAGCCTCTTTGGCTTGCTAAATGCTTTCTATAAGGGTTACTCAATAAATAAATCTCCCAAGCATTTCATGCTGGATAGGCAGCATACACAGCATATGTGGGCTACCTTCCCTATAACTTGCGTATTATTGCAAACTGTGGTGCTGACTTTTACAGGGAACCACAGATGCCAATCAGCTCATTTAATGGGTAGTACTTGAAAGCACTGTTGACATCATAAACACAGCAAAATGGGATTTTTTGCAAAAAGTGTATGATTAATGGTGGAACATTAATCATCAATTTCTAATTATCTACACTGTAGTGAAGTTCTAGTCGATTTTCGGGTCTTTAACAGCTTATGTTTGGTTACATAAGTGATTTTGAAAACAAGCCTTACCTGCAGCTATCAGGTATGAAATGAACACAGCTACCTCTGTGGTTACAGTATGTCTGATTTTACAAAAAGTCGTGTGTTTTTTCCTGTAAAGCAGATGGTACAGTAGAGGAGGAAGAGGAGTTTGCAGAACATTTGAGAGGTCTAAATGACAGCGAAGTAGAAGCCTTTGAACCTTGCAACTTTGTGTTTGCCTGTGCCTGTGTATGCTTGAGTCTATATGTACAAGGGAAATGCAAGTGAACTAAATGTCAAGGGCAAGTTGAAAAAGGGAAGGTTGTGTCTGAAAGGTAATTTGGCTCTCCAGAGGTAAAAGCCTCTGCTGTAATGGCGCGCTCAGGTAAAAGCTTTACACGTATGGGGAACATGTGCGGCAGATAGATAAGAGAGAGTCGAGCAAGTTCCTATCCCCGTTGTTGTGTATTTGTGCCTGAGTGTGTATGTTTGTGCATGTATTTGGCCCCCGTTATAATGTGGAAGCCAAAGGCCTGGAACAGCACCATAATCTACTACGATTTCCAGTGCCAAAAAGAGAGAGAGAGAGAAAGACACAGAAGCAAAGAGAGAAAGAGACAGAAAGAGAGAGAGAGAGGGACAGAGAGAAGGAGAGATAGAGAGATGGAGACAGCTCCACAGGGACTTAGCAATCAGGAGACATGGCAGCCGCTTGGCTCTCAGTTATAATGGATGAGTTGAGGTCTTCCTGTGTTCCCTGTGGGGCTTGGTTCGACTCTCCCATCTCTACCCTCTGCTGTGCTCTGCAGGCTTGCTGCCAAACATCATGGTACACAGATGCATACATACACACACTCTCACCCCACATGCACTGTTCACCTCCTAAACATCCTTGTTTATTGCATTTCATTGATTGTCTATCAGCCTTATCTTGTCCCTTGATCTCCTGTTCAGCTCCGTCTCCCTCGTGCTCCAGGTTGTTGTTTTGTCCTCTTTATAAACCCTGACTGTCTGTTTCTTCAGGCTGCCAACCATCCATGTTGCCCCCCAACCCCCACCTCTCCTGGCTCATGTACTTTATCTATTCCCTTATGTCCTTTTACAGGGTCTGTCTGCGGGCAGAGGCAAAAGGCATTTTATAAAAATATCAATGTAAACTTGATTTCTGTACACCCTCCGCCACCACACCGGCCTCGGCTGGCAGAGGGGGCGCAGGGATGAGGGGGGGGACAATCAATTAATCTGATCAAGCGCTTTAGGAAATGGAGAGCGTAAGCGCTCCTAGGGGACGGCTATCCATCTCCTTGGGATGATTGAATTACGCACAGAGTGAGAGTTGGAGAGGAGGGAGGGCTGGAGAAATGAGGTGGTTAGGGTGACCGAGGATGAGGGAGCATGTGCTTGAGAAACGCAGTGGGAGTGTGCGCTTGATACGAGAGAATGAAAGATAGAGAGACACCGAATGAAATAAAGCATGAGCAAAAGAGTGGTGAGAGAGATGGGGTCATTGCAGAAACAGCGATGAAGGGGCAGCTTTTTCTCTGCACCCTCCCTTTTCCCCCCATCTAACCATTTACATTTTTATGTGTCATACCTTATGGTTGATAACCCCAGCTTTTGACAGCTATATTACATAGCATGGGTATATCATTTTGCTTTGGAGTCAATTCATATCTGAGAGCTGCTCGGGACAAAGTTGTCATTTATTCAACAGTAAATTATTGTACAGGTTGCATACGAAGTGGAAATACAGAGGACATTATGGCAGTGGCCTATGGCACAGTTAAAGCCCTCCCCCCTATTTTGTATCTAAATGAATTTTTTTCCAATATTATGTACAACTGTATGATTGATAAGGTCTTCCTAATAATACCTCTTCAAGACAAACACCGAGGAGCCAGCCCATAGTAAGGTACAGCAATTTCACAACAGCTGTTTCCTGTGAGCTCCTCCATCGTTTTGTAAGTGGCTCAATATTTAGCTAAATATTGCCTAAAAGTGCATTTCTTTTTTCCAGCGCCACACTTTTGGACTGGATGACCCTCTCCTCCACTTCTGTTCATTGCTTACGATACCTTCTCCTGGACTTGATGTGAATGATTTCTTATCTGCTGTGAGCACTAGAGCTTTGTCAGGGAACCTTTGAATAGA